GTCTAAGATCCATGAACTGATTATTCAGCTGCTCCATAGAAGAACCCTGACAACAGCTAGCTATTTGTATTTTAATCTAAACACTGTGAAAGGTTATAGACATAACTCCATCAGCCTCTGGATTTATAATTGAGCTTCCATGAATCTGACTTAGTCAGTGCACTGAAACAGGCTAAGACATTATATGTGGGGACCTTTTACATCACCTGGTGCTGATGATTTATTTTGGTGTGCTTTCATATCCTGTCATGTACAGAAATTTCCCATGGGTGTCTCATTTTTTTTTTTTTTATTATTTTTTATCGTAGCAGCATAAGTATGACCAAAATGTACAGAGTATCATATTCTTTTACTTGTGTTGTCTGTCAGGAGGTGGTAACCATTTATTAAAATACTACCTGATTATCAACATATCCTGCTGCTATACTGACTAGACTGTCAGATCCCTTAGAAGAATCCTTAGCTTAAGTTTTGCCTAGGCACTGTTGAAATCCAGTCATACAAATCACCAGATTCTCAAAGTTGTTCCTGCAGCTTCATTCATATTGGATGAAAATCAATTCAAGTATCTTATTTATTATTTCTAAATCATTTTTTTCAATTTATTACCTTGATGCAATTAAATAAAGAAAAGAAAAATTAATAAATGAACTCTGAATAAAAAAGTAAAAATTTAAACTAGAAAAACCTGAGAGAGTGCAGACCTCTGCCAAGACAACTCAGTTCATAAACCATCAGTCATCGATTAATTAGTCAATTAATCCATTAACTCAGTTCTCATTATTAGTTATTAATTATCAATAAATTGATTTAGTTAAATTCTCATCATCATCAAGTAATAGATAATCAACTAATTATTTAATTAACTAATTCTAATTAAAACTAATCACCAACGAAATATAGCCCATTTCCCTTGAATACTTATGGTTTTGTCAAAAACCCTCCATAACTTTCTTGCATTATGTTGCTAACAGACAGAAAGGTATGTCAATATTCATTTGAAATCTAATTATTATACAATTACTATATTCATATTAATCTGATTATTTTAATTTCTTTTTGTATATTTGCCTGTGCATTTATATTATTTTTCACTGACCTGTGTGTAGGTTTTATAGTTTCTGTTGTGGTTTTCCCAGTTGTCTGCTGGGGGATAATTAAATTATTACAGTGGCAATCCATTACAGATTCCAAGAAATCAGTTGTTTACGGCCCCAGAACGGGTTACAAAGTATCTAGTGTTAAGTGTATTTAGTAGCTGCATTGATTTAAACAAGTCCAGTTCTTGGTTTTTTGTTTTTATAGTTTTTAGTTGTACATGTGCATATGAAAACAGGAATACATTGTAGATATCACATTCTATCAGTTTATAGATCTTACACACTTTTGGTCACAGGTGTTTTTTCCCACCTTGCTTGAGAGTGGTAAATTCTAGATTAATTACCAGTAATTGATTTACAAATAAAGTTTCAAAAATGGGGGTGAGTAGTAACAGCATAAAAATTTAGGAAATATAGAATCAATAATTTGTTACATGACATTTTCATTTTTAAGTCACAAACCTGTTTTTATAGTTTTTGATGTAGGCCATAAATAGACTTAAGTTTAACAGCCGGAGACCCGGATGAGAGCTGACCGAACTGTTTACGATCCACATGTATAATGTGATGCTTGTGACAAGTGATTTTACATTCGCACCATGAAATTGCAGTTTGAGCCCTTAAATTTGTTGATTGCAAGCATAAACCTGTGGTTCCAGATTCTCATTTAAAAACTGAAATATGCACCTTGGTTTAATGTGTATAAAATTAAGGTCTGTATTAATTTCAGGACATTGGGCCTAACTCACAATAGTATGTTGTTCTAAATTGTAAGACCAAATAATTTGGTAATTTCAATTAAGGATAAATCAAATGGCATTAAAAGTTCACATCAACTTTTTTTCTCTCTGTTTCTGTCTCTCTTCTCATTCTCTCTTTTTTTTTTCTTTCAATTTAAAGTTACTATTGGCCTGAGAGAGGTAAGCCTTAATGTTCATTATAGTCAGGTGAAATGCGTGGCTGGTTAACTATGTCTGCAGGGCACAGAGATAAAGATTTAATTGAGAGGACTGAAAACAGGATGTTTGAGGCCTCCTACCTTTGGGTGCATGAAACTGTTTTTTTGGTGCTCTCAGAATTATTCAAGGATAGGCCCCTCTCCCCCTAGACACAGGTATATGATATTTTAGATATACATACATATATATATATATCAGTGTGCATTGTTATTCCTGGCACCATGTATTTTCCTTTCAATTATTCTACTAATACTTACAGATTCCCCCCTCCCCCAACCCCCCCCCCTCAAAAAAAAAAAAAAAAAAAGATTAAATTTCATGAAAAAACTATGTAAAAATAATAGTGAATATACGTAATTTTGACAGTAATTTGTAAATTGAGTTCTAGTCTCTCCGGGAGATGAATGAACTTGAAGGTGAAGTATGTTGAAAAACTCTTCCCTCTTCATTACCATACATGTGCATGGTAGTTCAGGTAGTTAAATTGTGACGTGAGGGTTCCCAGTAATTGATTAAAAAAGCAAGAGGTGTCAGAAATCACTGCTCTGGAATTCAAGCATAATTGAAGAATGTTGTACTAATAAGCACTACATGTAATCAGTGATACCAGCCAGTGTCTTATCTGTATAGTTGAAGTGGTGTTCACACTATAGATTATGCCACACTGTTTTTTCTGGCTCTTCTTCTGCTTCCCGTCCATGGCAACGAAGCCAATTGTGAGGATTTACGAGACAACAGACTGTGTAAAAGTTAACCATAGTGATTTTTTGTAGCATCAGATAACAGATAGTTTGGAAGAAATAAATCCTAATGAGAATTCACAACATCAGCTAACTTCCTTCATAATGTCACACGTCTCAGTTAAGGAGGATGGGTTTGTGAACAGTAGTTAAATTTTTACCACCTGAAATCTTCGAAATGTCACTTCACCCTTTTAATGTAGCAAGCTGTGAATGGTATGAAAGATAAACAGTAAAACCAAAAACGATTGCAGACTGTTTTTTAAAAAAATGCTTGAAGCAAGAACTTACCACCCACATTCTTTAGTTGTCATACTTGTAGTAAGTGCCTAAGATTTTAGATTTTTTTGTTAATTATAAAAGATAAATAAAAGATTCATTATTGATTTTTAATGAATGTTAACTAAAACTTTTATAACTTTATTCCAGCAAAATCTACTAAGAGTGTTTGTATAAGGAGATTGAATCACAAAACAACACCAGAGATATTTCTGTAGTGTCCTTTTTTGTTTTGTTTAATTATATAATCATAATATTTACATGTTCAACCACTGACATCCCCCTAATACCATGTAAAACCCAAAAATACTAAATAGGACTACTGCATGGTTGTACCATTGATTGCAATGTGTAAAAATTTAAAGTTACTATTAAGCATTTATCATTATTAATTATGTTTAAGACGACCATGCAGTTCCTTAAAAGAAACATTTTTTTCTTGAAGACTTATGAAATATTATGTGTTATAGTGCAATCAGAACAGGTTGATCTGTGGACTAACAGATCCACAGATCAAATATGGCAGACCCACTTGAAAGCAAGTCTGCCTAATCCTTTTATGATCTCCCCGGCTCCATATGAGTCACACTCCACAATTAAATAGATTAAATCTTGGGTCCCAGGTTTAATTGCCAAAACTAAAACTGAAAAATAAAAACATATAGCACAGTTGGCTATAGAATAGAGAAGAATTGCAAATCTTATTTCAAATTTTATAACAAAACTTATTTCAAGGTGCCTTTTCATTTTGTACTTTGAGTCATATGTAATATAAAGTATATTTGACATGCCCTGGTGATTTAATATAATCAAAAAGCATGTTAATTGTAAAACCACTTGTGCATTCAACTGTTAGAAAATACCTATAGCAAGTTGTGCGGCTGAGATTATCATTTTTTGAAGCTACCTATATGTACTGAATTATCACAGCAGCAAAGAGATCCTGATACCTAAATGATTCCCAGAAAAAGTCAAGTTGTGACAGATGTCACTTATTATATGAAGATTCAATATATATCTTCACCTGCAGTAAGTCATTACATATGTCATGGCTGGTGGCAGACTGCTAAACAGAGAAAGCTGTTGATGATCAGGGCTTGGAACAACTCACATTTAAACTTTATAGTCAAGGTCAGGTGTCATTCAGAGGTCAATTAATTGGCATGGGAAATTGATTTTTTGTTAGAGGCAGTGTTATTTATATTGACATATATTGGGCAATGCAGAACATTTGAACATTAGGAGTAAAGTTATGTGAAGGGCTTAACTCATCTTGGAATTAAAAAGTGTTAAAGTTATGTTTAGAATATTGAAAAAAACTTATAGTATCGGATATTGCAAAACATTTCCATTGCAAATGGCAATTATATATGACAGACAGTTACATATATTTTGAGAAAGACAACTGACAGTGCAATATGTCATGAATGTTGAAATAACTCATAAAAACATGAGAAATAACTTGCCAAAATCTTTTAATTTCCACCTCATTTGTCATGTAGGTGGTAATATAACTGAAAAAAAAAAAAAAAAAATAACCGCAGCAGTGGGCCATGGTATGATACACATCTATATAGATGGGTATGGTTAGTTATAATTGGCATTTGCTAAATGTGATAATCTTATGCACTTTAGAAGCAGCACAATTGATTCAGTAATCTGTTTTGGAAACACAGGGAAGTCATTTTATTAAATTGTGACGGTCTGTCTGAAGTAATCTAATATCTGTGACTAAATTTGAACAAATGGTGCATCCTAATTACCAGACACGGTAGATAGATTTCACCGAGTTTGCCAGATTAAAGTGATCAGGTAAAGCTATCACCTATACTCTGTGGGAAAGTCTTATCATGTCTGATGGACACATCACTCTGTAGGTGGTGCAGAGCTGCTTGTTTATTTCTAATCGATTTCTATTCTAGGTGTGCATTGCGTCACCACACCTAGCCTCCCAAACTCACATGCACTAGTACTACAGGGAAGGGAACATGTAAAGATTTCAACTCGCATTGAGGATACTAATACCTGGTATGGATTCCAGCAGACAAGTGGAAAAAGAACAAATGGATTATACCCTCACTAGTAAAAGCAGAACTTGAAACAAAATAAGGGACAAATGCATTTTACTCCTCATTAAATAGAGCTAAAAAAGGAAATATACAGTTGGATTTCTGATGGTTATTGAAGAGGACTGAATAGACAACATTATTTAATGTTTAGTGTGAAATATATATAGTAAGATTTTTTTTATTTTAATCATTGAAACAGGAAACAGGATTGGAACAGTGAAGACACTCAACTGACTCTTTTGATTCCATTCTAATATTTGGTGAATTATATGCATGATATCTGTAGTCTTTAATGGTCCAAGACATGATGATATTGTGGACTGGGGTATTTTGCTGTTGCAATAGTGGATAAACTGGGATACAACCACAAAATATGATTTACATTATAGATAATTTTTGCAGGAAGAAAAGTCTTACGGCATATTCATGAGGTTATAAATACCATAATTTTGTAATCCCTTGAAAAAATTGGACAAACATACATCAAGGGAGAGAAACATTTATAGGTTTTTTAAAAACTGTGTGTGGTGTCATCTGCCTTCAGAGAGACTTTTCCTATTTATCAGGAGGATTTGCATGAAATTGCACACAAATGTACATGGTAAAACTCAAAGTAAAAAGGATAATTTACTGTTAAGGCTCAGCTGCAGAGAACCTATAATTACAAGAGGAGAAGACGGAAGAATCCACAGCAGCCATGAAACCAAGAGGAATACAATGGTACTCTACCTTGCCCTCAATAAAGATAGCTTTGATAATATGGACTCTGTGCATAGAACCTTGCAAAAACAAAGAACAACTAACGATGGGAATAGTTGTTCCCTCAGATTTTTTTATGAAAAGAACTACAAATGCAAAAATTTTTGAAAAGAAAAATGGAATTGCATCTATTGATGATGATGATTTCAGGCTTGCTCTCAGTCGCTACAGGTTTGATATCACCCGGTTAGAGTTGAAGGCCATATCAAAGACTGCTGGCTACAGCCCATGGGATATCCTGGATGTAATTTGTGAAAAAATAATGACCAATAAATGGAATACAGTGCTGTATGCTAACTATAATGAAGAATTCAATGCAGCCTCTGTTCAGTACCTTCTGTCACTCCTATCCTTTATGGGAATCCCCACCATAGTGTGGGTTCCTTTTAAGTCGGGCCTGGCTGAGGTAGGTCTTCTTTCTGTATCACTTCTTGATATTGCAATACACTATTGTGCAGTTTCTCATAAGAATCCATCAGTCCACTCTTGCTAAATAAAAATGAACTACATAGTTAAACCATTCTTTCAAAATAGCAGGAAAATTGTTCTCTTGGGTATGGCTGAAAATTTCCTGTTAGACAGATAAAATAATGCTCACTAAAGGCAGAGATTAAAAAAATACATATATATATATATACTTTAAACTTTAGCCTAATTCTATAACTAAATCCCTGCACTATTATTGGATAGTGTCAATTTTTTCTGGTCGTAGAAAAAATAAATTATACTTTTATATCTTCTAACTGAACTTGTAATATGAAATTAACTTAAAAGTATGGTTTCAGAACCCTTCAGAAAGCCTTAATCTTCAGCTGACTCCATCAGTTTATCATATCGATGCAGCATTACTGAAATTGATGAACCACTACTCATGGTCACGTTTCTCCATCATAACAACCAATATTCCTGGGAACGCAGAACTCGTGGCCACCATGAGGCGCATGATTAAGACAGAATTTGAGGGGTAATAATGGATTATGCACTCTTATATTAGATCTTATTTATATAAATCAGTCTATATCACCAAATTAAATTCTAGGGTACATATGTTCTCTTTCCATGCACTCTTACTGGTTTTTCATTCACTTAATTCTCATAATGCATTGTCAACTTATCACATTTAGTATTGCTCTGATAAAGACATTTCCAAGTATCATGTAACCCACACGTCTTTATTTTTTCAGAAGGGAATATGTTTTATTAGATAGTGTCAAAATCTGGAATGCCCAAAACTCCGCCGAAGTTTATGAACAGTTGAAAGTAATTAAGGACAGTGATGCAAGAATTATTGTTCTCTACGCATCAAGGTATGCTGTCAAATTTGAGTGGTTTTGTAAGTGGTGAGATGTGAATTCTTAATCTTTGTTCCATGTATAGATTGCAAATATTACTCTATCGTAAGTTTGTTAAAATATCATTTGTTTCATTTCCACTGCAGTGGAAGTAATTTTAATCTTTACATGTAGTTTCAAAGAATTGATGGAACTAATACATGTAAATATATGATCTAGCATAGACATTCCATTCCTGGAAACAATATGACTGTTATTGGAAAAGGGATTTCAATAGAATGTGAAACTTCGGGTTCCCATATTCTTTCTACAAGTCTAAAACTATAGAATTAAGATGTGATAAGTGCTTAATTGTTGTAACTGTTTACTCTTTTTGAATATGGTCTCTATATTTTAGTTAACATGGTTCAAAATGAAGCATGTTAAATCTGGCATTTTTAGAAGTTCAGTTTCTCTAACCATAGTAGGTATTCATAAAATTTGCCTCTTCCACTCATACTGGTACATGTATTGCAAAATGGCATCTTTTTTATTTATTTATTATTTATATGTATATATATATATTTTTTTTTCTCTGATAAAGTTTGTTTATATCAGTTTCAAACATTTGTGGTTTTGCTATTGTTTTATTATGAATGTGTCAATTTTTCCTCACCAGAGCAGAAGCAATAGAAATAATGCAAGCAGCACAGTCTGAAACATTGAATATTGCCACTGATGAATATCTCTGGATAGTTACACACCAGGCTGTACTGTTTGATGAAGAACAGAGGTTAGAGTTTCCAGTGGGGATGCTGGGTATGAACATGTTGTGTATTTACACAAAATGTAGATTTGAATAGAACCAATTTGCTCTGTGGAAATGAATTTTATTTTGTTGGCTTTATGAAATTGTTGCATTATATTACTATATGCTTTCTGTCAGATCCTTTCAGCTAAGGAAAATGTCACAGAATTTTTGATGTAGATGTAATTTTGATGTAGATTTGTATGTACGTATATGGTCTTCAGATGTTAAAATTGAAGGAAAACATTCTTTTTGATGGAATTCTTCACAATTAGCCTACATTTTGATGTCTAAACTGTCATTTAAGGTCTAACATTTGGGGAAGATGATACGCTCTGGGACAGACCCACCTTTTTCAGTGCCATTGAGATTGGCATGGATGTGTGGCTGGAAGGGATTAAACAGTTCATATTAGCCAATCCAGACCCAGCTAGAGCCAACTCTACAAACCCTCCATCATTGGTTCCAAATTTTTCTTGTGAACCGAACCAGACTGCCTACTGGGCAGATGGACAGATTCTCTATAAGTAAGTCTTATTCTGTAAGTATTGATAAGGTATATAATTGTACCAGTAAAATGACATTAACATGTGCCTATACTTTAATTCTGAATAATGTTACACAAAGAATATTTTAGAGACTTTTGTAACTTAAGATGGTCTATCCAGATGAATAACCCAAATGAGGCAATTTTTACCTTTTAAATTAAAATAATTTCTTTGGACATCCAGAGAACCAAAATAAATTAAAGGTGAGGCTTTTACTTCTTATTTTAATAACACAATGAATATTTTATATAACCTGCAACCATCCTGGTTTTGGGAGTAATTAAGATATGGCTTCTACCTGCTTGTTCATGTCTACACACTTGCTGCATTTTACTGTTGAAATTTTGAATTTTTTGAAGTTTCTTGCACACTTGCTGCATATTACTCTATATTTTTAGAAGTGTGCACCAAGGAACAACCACTTGCTGTTTCCTTTAGCACGCTTCTCAAAGGTATATACTATATAACCAAAAGCGTGTACCAAACGTGGCACATAATCGTAATTGCAGCACATGTCACAATTTTCATTGTCCCAAGGTTGCTTTTCAAGTGGATGGAATTTTTTTTTATAGAGACAGCCCAGTGAATTGTCATAATTACTATGTTAATTTGCAGATATATGCAAGGGGTGAACTTGTCAGATAAAAACATCCAGTTTAAACCAGATGGCACATTGAAAGAATTTGCCTTCAAGGTGATGAACTTCAATAAAGATCACATATGGAAATCAGTAAGTGTTCAATTTAATTTATTTTTCAAACAAATTTTTCATCAATGAGTTCATTTTGGGGTTCATTTTAAGTTAGAAGCTAATAGTTAATAAAAATGATTCAATGAGAGGATTGAGAGAGTTATTCTGTCCTTTGGTCTCTAAAGAATTCATTTACTGGGTGTTTTCATTAATTTATTTCAATATATATTTATTATTGTAGAGGGGATTTGTGCTGCATCTTTTTCAATCTCCTCCAATGCTTGCAATTTTCCAGGTGGGTGTTTTTGACGCAGATGGGCTGAAATTGGATGATATCAGCTGGCCTGGGGATGCAGCAACGCCACCTAGGGACAGGCCAGAAAAGTACCACCTGAAAGTGGTCACCCTGGAGGAACCCCCGTATGTCACATATTCTGACTTAGATCCCCGGACATGGAAGTGTAACCCTGGAGCTTCACTCTGCAGAATGAAACCGTTAAACATCACCCAACAGTAGGTTGAAAGACATGACCTCCCATTAATTATAGATCAGTGAAGTTTCTTTGATGCTGACATAATCCTCAATATATGTAAGTAATGGCTGTCACAAAGCTCTTGGTAGTCAGGTCTAATATTTAAGGCAATTTAGAATATTGGTTTTTTTGTGCAAATACTTAATAAATATGTTAATTTAAACTCCATAGCAGCGATTAGCCATGTACTATAGACATGGAAGACTACATTTTGGTAAGATTTTCTTGAATTTTTTTCAAATATTTAACCCACAAAGTGTGTCAGCTGACACTCCGATTATTGACCTATGTAATGGCTAAATTCCTCTTTAGGTACAGCTTTGAAAATGCCACCCGGAACTCTACCCTTTATCGTTGCTGCTCTGGGTTTTGTATAGACCTTCTGAACCTTCTGGCTGAAAAAATGGGTTTTGACTATGAGCTCTATGTAGTGGAAGACAGGAAATGGGGGGCTCCTGACAGCAAGGTACTGGGTAAAAAATTCTGTTTAAAAACTAACAGTAGAAATATTGACATGTAAGTGGTTGCATTTTGAATACATTTTGAATGGCCAGTAACAAGTACATGTTATCATATAGAAAAAGTCATCTGTCATTAATGTTTTGATTAATTGTTATTTTCTTTTTTTTCCCTTGTATTCTGATTCTGATTCTCATCTTAAAACATGTGTTAGTGGCATCAACTCTTAAAACTCATGTATAAATGTAAGTAAAAACCCTGTAAAAACATCAAACTGTTAAAATATTTCAGGATGAAAATGGAAAACCTATGTGGAATGGATTGGTCAAAGATCTTATGGATCATAAAGCAGACATGTGCATGACATCTTTAAAGATCAATCCAGAGAGAAGTAGTGTGATCAGTTTCTCAGTGCCTTTCCTAGAAACTGGGATCACTATTGTGGTAGCTGTGAGGGAAGGGGCAATCTCACCCAAAGCATTCTTAGGTATGAATGTATATGACTTTTATCTCTTCTGCTCTGAAATGTGGGTAGTTTGATACAAATGTGCATTTCATCAATAATTTGATTATGTGATGTGGGCATTTTTTCTGACTGAAAATATTTGTGAAGAATAATAACCCATGATAACAATAACTTAATTTCTGAAATCTTACTAAGATTGACATTTGTTTGTTGAACACTACATATCATTCTCTGCAAATTTTTATAAATATAAAATACTAATTTTCCATCTCATTATTACCTTAACATTAACATAAGCAATTTGTGATACATAAAAATGACAAGCCTATAGTAAGAGCTTACTAAGCGGAATTTGAATGTAAAAAAATCACAAAATTTCAGTCTTTAACCAGTTTCTTACCTTTTCTCCACTAATTTTCTGTACTCAAAAATCTAAAAGTCAAGTGCTCTTTAGATATATTAATGTACTTTATGTTTTTGTTGATTGGATTGCAGTATGTGTGATAATAACATTCAAAGTAGTAGAATTTAGTTACATAAGTTCACTGTGAACCTGCCTTTTCAGAGCCGTTTGACATCAAATCATGGCTACTGATATTACTCGCAGCTATCCAAGTTGTAGCTGTCTCAGTGTTTCTCTTTGAATGGGGAAGTCCCTATGGCTTTAACAGGCAAAAACGTCCTGTCACAAGAGGTAAAATATGCACCATTGATGTTGTTTTACAGATGTTTCATTTTTTCTTTGACTTACAGTTGGAAAACAAAGGTGTGGATCATTGCTGTCAGCAACAAAAAATAATTTTAGCTTTCGATAAGTGAGCAAAACAGAGTTAGTATTACAAAAAACTTGGTCAAGTATTAAAAATCCACCAATTTAGTTGGATTTGTCGTTGGTAGTTTTGTTTTACAACAAATGTTGAAAAGTGCAGTTCAGCAATCCCATAACTTTGTATTCCACAGTCACAGGTATCCATGGCAACCTTGAAACCATCCTGAGGAGAGGGCACAAATGTTGATGTTTTGTGTTTCCTTGGCAGCAGTTGACACATGTATACTAAATGTCACATGATCTACTTTCTTAAATTATTTCAGAACCATATGATTATCCTGCTTGGTGTCTTATCCTAGTATTTAGTGTCCATACGGCTGGGGCAGCCATCTTCATATTTGAATGGCTAAGCCCTGGAGGTTTAAATCAAGGAGAAGTGCCTGCAAGAGGTACTGTACAAATGTGACCAATTTACAGCTTGGGCCGAGGGTGTTTTTGTATTTGTGCACAGTGCTATTGTTCTGATATATAACCCATACATTTCTGTTTTACTTGCTTTACTAACAGGTTTTTTATTTGCAATTGTAATCAATCACAGTAAACTATCTACTTGATTATATAAATATAGTAATAGAGTCAATGTAACTACACAATCTAAACTTTTGTATGATATGAGCTATTAACAAGTGACACATGGATTGATTGACACTTAAAGCACAAAAAAGACTGAGTTTGCCTCACCACTGTGCCCATGCATCATAAGGTACCATAAGAATATATATATCCTTATATTTATTTATACACTGTGTTTGATGGCATCACATGTCACTTGGTGCTGTGGTAAAACTCCCAGTAGACTCTCCTAGACCTCAGTCCCATCTGTGATCTTGGGTCCATTAGCAACTGTCTAACTGCATGAGAACCATAATGGTATCAACACTCAATGTCTTCTCATAGCTATTGCCTCTGTGCACTAAGTGCACTAAATCTCTTTCTGGGACTTTTGGAGGGTATCTTACTTCCTGTCTCATCATTGTTGTGACTATTTGTGCTATAGATGAAGTACAGAGAGAGAGAGAGAGAGAGAGAGAGAGAGAGAGAGAGAGACTTACAACTGAAGTCTTGTGAAAGTAGAACTCCACTGAACTTTTGTAGGAGCTTTTTCATATGCTTTGACATCCGTCTCAGTGAAGTCTGTTGGCTAGTTTACCTCGGTCTCCTGTGCACGGTTAACAGTTTTGAAACTCTTGTGGCTTTGACGATGTAGTGCGTACACAATGCGTACCATAAGTACATGTAGAAGTTGATCGAGAAAAGGAACAATTATTAATTTCAGTTCTGAAATTTACAGATGAGTCACATGGAAGGAAAAGTGATTCGAAACATCATCGTAAGTTTTAATATTGTCCGTGTCCACACTATCTGTCTCAGTGCCACTACATGTTGGATATCAGTATAAGCTATCTTTCATCTATAATTGGTACATAAGCCACATTAATATATAAAATTAGCTTACAAATGTACTGACATATTGTTATATGACCTTGCTTTTGCAGTGCAAAATAATGTCACAAAATAGGCTGTAACAGCATGGGTATTTGCTAACCCTAACAAGTGATGCAATACTAACATTTATAATTCTATACCCTTAATAGAACAATAACTTAAGAAAAATGCATCCATATTATGACAGAATTAAGATAATACAAGGTACCCAAATAACACTTGATGACTATTTCACTTTTTAAATAGTTGTAATGCACTAAAATGGGGCATCTATTGAAAATTTTTGTGAAATGGGGAATTGGTGTATAAGCCATTGATATTAGATGACGTGAATATGATGCTTCTGTCATTCTTTTGTAAAATACTTTTCAACATTGAATCTTTACCTCATATTCAAGCAGTGTGCATGGTCTGACTGTCTTAAATTTACCAAATAAAACCTTTTCACAATGACTTTCTGATACTTAGTTTGTTAAAAAAAGAAAAGACCATGGTTTAATTGTCAGACTGGCATATAGAAAAAGGTGCCAGCTTTGCATTAGACAACATGTAATGATTATTCTTATGAACTAATTGTAAAACTTGAGGAATTATTTGAGTTGCTTCTGAAAGAATGACATTCAGAATAGATCTGTTCTATGGAAGATATTTAAACTAATTAAAATAATGATTAAATTAAAAGATTAATTAATGAATAGAAAATTGATATAATGAAATAATATGATCTATAACGCCATTTATTTTTATTTTCATTTTTATTTAAGAGCACAGATTTTCATTATTCCGATCATTTTGGCTGATATGGGCAATGCTGTTTGGGGCGGCAGTCAACGTCGACAATCCAAGAGGAGTGTCAAGCCGCTTTATGGCCAACATCTGGGCACTTTTTGCTGTTGTCTTCCTGGCCAGCTATACTGCCAACCTGGCTGCTTTCATGATTGCCAAAGAGGAATATTATGACTTGAAGGGAATTCAGGATCCAATGGTAATAATAACTTGAGGCTGGTGGTGCATGTAATTTATGATATTTACGAAGAATCAGAGGTATCTTTACCGGAGAAGAGTCTTATGGTAATGACTCAATCTTTTCAATGGACAAAATCAAACTTTCAGATACATAATCAAAGATCTGAATTATATTTCTGTATAGCATTTGTGGTGCTTTTACTGCAAAGGATAGAACTATAGAGTAGCCTGTTTTTCATTTTTGTTGCTACCGCTCAATAAGAATGTTTTAATTAAAAAAAAAAATATGACTTAAAAAGTACAGTATCCCTAAAAATCACAATTTTCCCAATTGAAAAGGTTGATTAATTACCGTAATTTGACTTTCTAAAAAGTTCTCAAAGTTGCAGAGGTTGAGTAGGGGGTTCTACAGATAAAGAGACTCTTGTTAGTGATTGTACAGTAACATTTGGGATTCAATGTGATTAATACCATGTGAAAGTCATCCAGGGTACAAACCAACATATATCAAGGGTACCATGTGACATACATATATCAAAGGTAACATGTAACAGGTATTCAAGGTACCATATGACAGATATTCTGGGCACCTTGTGACAGATGTCCACGTTACAATGTGACAAACATCCAGGTATCCTGGGTATCTTTTTGTTTGTCTTTAAAAAAAAAAGCCAAATCCTGTTTCAGTTACACAACCCATTTGCTGTGAATCCTGCCTTCAAGTTTGCCACAGTGAACAGTGGGGCCACATCCATTAACTTAAAGAAGAATTACCCAAATATGTACAGCTACATGCAGCAATGGAACAAAGTGAATGCTGCAGAGGGTACCCAGGCTGTTAAAGACAAGTAAATCTCAACCTGTGCAGCAAAGCTCTATAAATGCTTTTATGAAATTTAAAAAATATTGAAATTTGACAAACAAATCACAGCTGTTACAGTACCTTGCATTAAAACATAAACTGTGCTAGAAAGAGAAGCAGGTTGACAAATGAATTCTGTCTTTAAATTCACCTGCACTCTTTCCAGAAAAATTGATGCGTTCATCTATGATGCCACCGTGTTGGAATACCGTGCTTCCCATGATGAGGGCTGTAAGTTAAAGACAGTGGGAAACTGGTATGCCATGACAGGCTATGGTGTTAGCTTTCCTAAAGACTCCAAGTATGTAGACACTGTAAATGAGCATTTACTGCAGTTAATACAAAGAGGTGAGTAGAGACATTGTATTTGCTCCTTAAAAAATGAAGTTATAGTTACTAAAAAGTTCTTCTCAAGAATTAATACCTATGAAAAGGCAGGCTCAAAAATTAACTTTCTGTGGGTGGTGAAATGCTAACTTTTCTCAAACAAAACTTAACTGTATATGTGAAAAATTGATATTTTTTCAGGGTCAAAGATAAACTTCGTGTAACAATTATAATATTAAAAATGCTTTTATATGAGATATTTCAAACACGTGGTTTTCAGATTTATGAAAAAGATGCTTAACCTACCACAAACATCTATCTATAACAGAAAAGCATTCAAAACTATCCAAGCTAAAAATATTGTGAAATATTTCCAGGTGATTTAGAGCGCCTACAAAAATATTGGCTTGCTGGAGCTTGTAAGAAGAACAATCAAAGGGGAGTCTCCAGTCATCCATTAAAAATAGTCAACTTTACCAGTGCATACATTCTCCTAGCTGGGGGTATTTTGCTAGGAGCATTACTTCTATTGATGGAACATGTCTACTTTAAATGCTTCCGACCAAAATTAAGAAAGTGGGACAAGTGTGGATGCTGTGGATTGATAAGTCTTGTAAGCTGATAAATTTCAGTGATCATTTCTCATGCAAAATTTTTGGAAATTAGTCATTTTGAGTAGTAAAATGATGGCTAGAACATATCTGATTAAACCTTACAACTTTGCATGGTTCTATGTCATATTTTATCATTTGTGACAAATAGCAATAATGTTTNTTTACTTGATTATATAAACATAGTAATAGAGTCAATGTAACTACACAATCTAAACTTTTGTATGATATGAGCTATTAACAAGTGACACATGGATTGATTGACACTTAAAGCACAAAAAAGACTGAGTTTGCCTCACCACTGTGCCCATGCTAACAAGCATCATAAGGTACCATAAGAATATATATATCCTTATATTAATTTATACACTGTGTTTGATGGCACCACATGTCACTTGGTGCTGTGGTAAAACTCCCAGTAGACTCTCTCCTAGACCTCAGTCCCATCTGTGATCTTGGGTCCATTAGCAACTGCCTAACTGCATGAGAACCATAATGGTATCAACACTCAATGTCTTCTCATAGCTATTGCCTCTGTGCACTAAATCTCTTTCTGGGACTTTTGGAGGGTATCTTACTTCCTGTCTCATCATTGTTGTGACTATTTGTGCTATAGATGAGAGAGAGAGAGAGAGAGAGAGAGAGAGACTTACAACTGCAGTCTTGTGAAAGTAGAACTCCACTGAACTTTTGTAGGAGCTTTTTCATATGCTTTGACATCCGTCTCAGTGAAGTCTGTTGGCTAGTTTACCTCAGTCTCCTGTGCACGGTTAACAGTTTTGAAACTCTTGTAGCTTTGACGATGTAGTGCGTACACAATGCGTACCGTAAGTACATGTAGAAGTTGATCGAGAAAAGGCACAATTATTAATTTCAGTTCTGAAATTTACAGATGAGTCACATGGAAGGAAAAGTGATTCGAAACATCATCGTAAGTTTTAATATTGTCCGTGTCCACACTATCTGTCTCAGTGCCACTACATGTTGGATATCAGTATAAGCTATCTTTCATCTATAATTGGTACATAAGCTACATTAATATATAAAATTAGCTTACATATGGACTGACATATTGTTATATGACCTTGCTTTTGCAGTGCAAAATAATGTCACAAAATAGGCTGTAACAGCATGGGTATTTGCTACCCCTAACAAGTGATGCAATACTAACATTTATAATTCTCTAAGATACCCTTAATAGAACAATAACTTAAGAAAAATGCATCCATATTATGACAGAATTAAGATAATACAAGGTACCCAAATAACACTTGATGACTATTTCACTTTTTAAATAGTTGTAATGCACTAAAATGGGGCATCTATTGAAAATTTTTGTGAAATGGGGAATTGGTGTATAAGCCATTGATATTAGATGACATGTGAATATGATGCTTCTGTCATTCTTTTGTAAAATACTTTTCAACATTGAATCTTTACCTCATATTCAAGAAGTGTGCATGGTCTGACTGTCATAAATTTACCAAATAAAACCTTTTCACAATGACTTTCAAATCTCTGATACTTAGTTTGTTAAAAAAAGGAAAAAAAACATGGTTTAATTGTCAGACTGGCATATAGAAAAAGGTGTCAGCTTTGCATTAGACAACATGTAATGATTATTCTTATGAACTAATTGTAAAACTTGAGGAGTTATTTGAGTTGCTTCTGAAAGAATGACATTCAGAATAGATAGATCTGTTCTATGGAAGATATTTAAACTAATTAAAATAATAATGATTAAATTAAAAGATTAATTAATGAATAGAAAATTGATATAATGAAATAATATGATCTATAACGCCATTTATTTTTATTTTCATTTTTATTTAAGAGCACAGATTTTCATTATTCCGATCATTTTGGCTGATATGGGCAATGCTGTTTGGGGCGGCAGTCAACGTCGACAATCCAAGAGGAGTGTCAAGCCGCTTTATGGCCAACATCTGGGCACTTTTTGCTGTTGTCTTCCTGGCCAGCTATACTGCCAACCTGGCTGCTTTCATGATTGCCAAAGAGGAATATTATGACTTGAAGGGAATTCAGGATCCAATGGTAATAATAACTTGAGGCTGGTGGTGCATGTAATTTATGATTTTTACAAAGAATCAGAGGTATCTTTACTGGAGAAGAGTCAAAACTTATGGTAATGACTCAATCTTTTCAATGGACAAAAAATTATCAAACTTTCAGATACATAATCAAAGATCTGAATTATATTTCTGTATAACATTTGTGGTGCTTTTACTGCAAAGGATAGAACTATAGAGTAGCCTGTTTTTCATTTTTTTTGCTACCGCTCAATAAGAATGTTTTAATTAAAAAAAAAATTATGACTTAAAAAGTACAGTATCCCTAAAAATCACAATTTTCCCCATTGTAAAGGTTGATTAATTACCGTAATTTGACTTTCTAAAAAGTTCTCAAAGTTGCAGAGGTTGAGTAGGGGGTTCTACAGATAAAGAGACTCTTGTTAGTGATTGTACAGTAGTATTTGGGATTCAATGTGATTAATACCATGTGAAAGCCATCCAGGGTACAAACCAGTATATATCAAGGGTACCATATGTGACATACATATATCAAAGGTAACATGGAACAGATATTCAAGGTACCATTTGACACATATGCTGGGTGCCATGTCACATAATCCAGAGTACAATGTAACAGATATCCAAGGTACCATATGACAGATATTCTGGGCACTTTGTGTCAGGTGTCCAAAGCACAATGTGACAGACATCCAGGTATCCTGGGTATCTTTTTGTTTGCCTTTAAATAAAAATGTGCCAAATCCTGTTTCAGTTACACAACCCATTTGCTGTGAATCCTGCCTTCAAGTTTGCCACAGTGAACAGTGGGGCCACATCCATTAACTTGAAGAAGAATTACCCAAATATGTACAGCTACATGCAGCAATGGAACAAAGTGAATGCTGCAGAGGGTACCCAAGCTGTTAAAGACAAGTAAATCTCAACCTAATGTAAATTTGCTTCACTACTGTGCAGCAAAGCTCTATAAATGCTTTTATGAAATTTAAAAAGAATTGAAATTTGACAAACAAATCACAGCTGTTACAGTACCTTGCATTAAAACATAAACTGTGCTAGAAAGAGAAGCAGGTTGACAAATGAATTCTGTCTTTAAATTCACCTGCACTCTTTCCAGAAAAATTGATGCGTTCATCTATGATGCCACCGTGTTGGAATACCGTGCTTCCCATGATGAGGGCTGTAAGTTAAAGACAGTGGGAAACTGGTATGCCATGACAGGCTATGGTGTGAGCTTTCCTAAAGACTCCAAGTATGTAGACACTGTAAATGAGCATTTACTGCAGTTAATACAAAGAGGTGAGTAGAGACATTGTATTTGCTCCTTAAAAAATGAAGTTATAGTTACTAAAAAGTTCTTCTCAAGAATTAATACCTATGAAAAGGCAGGCTCAAAAATTAACTTTCTGTGGGTGGTGAAATGCTAACTTTTCTCAAACAAAACTTAACTGTATATGTGAAAAATTGATATTTTTTCAGGGTCAAAGATAAACTTCGTGTAACAATTATAATATTAAAAATGCTTTTATATGAGATATTTCAAACACATGGTTTTCAGATTTATGAAAAAGATGCTTAACCTACCACAAATATCTATCTATAACAGAAAAGCATTCAAAACTATCCAAGCTAAAAATATTGTGAAATATTTCCAGGTGATTTAGAGCGCCTACAAAAATATTGGCTTGCTGGAGCTTGTAAGAAGAACAATCAAAGGGGAGTCTCCAGTCATCCATTAAAAATAGTCAACTTTACCAGTGCATACATTCTCCTAGCTGGGGGTATTTTGCTAGGAGCATTACTTCTATTGATGGAACATGTCTACTTTAAATGCTTCCGACCAAAATTAAGAAAGTGGGACAAGTGTGGATGCTGTGGATTGATAAGTCTTGTAAGCTGATAAATTTCAGTGATCATTTCTCATGCAAACATTTTTGAAATTAGTCATTTTGAGTAGTAAAATGATGGCTAGAACATATTTGATAAAACCTTACAACTTTGCATGGTTCTATGTCATATTTTATCATATGTTACAAATAGCAATAATGTTTAAGCCTGCTGCAATTAACTTTTATATGCATTGGTTCATATATTTTATTCAAATAGACATATGAAATTTTACTTGCATACAAATACTGAATTTAAAAGCCAATACAAGCATTAAATACCAAACTCCGGATTGTTTTGATTGCCCCAAATTTCAGAGTATGGGCAAGTCCTTGACATTTGAGCAGTCTGTGATGGAAACCCTAGATCTGACAAAGAATTACAAATGCAAGAACCCCATCTGTGAGACACAGCGATGGAAGGTTCAACATGAGCTTGATCTTGCCCTCCTCAAGATAGAAAGGTTGCACATGAGACTGAGGTAACACCGAGCTTGAAAACTTTTAAAAAGCTGTTTTGGAATTGGAATGTTTGATGGTATATTTGAGGGAGAAATGTGTTGGTTATACATTTGTACAAAACTGTATGTGTACTTGAAATTTTTNATAAAAATTTAATGCATTCTGTCAGCAAAACTCAAAACATAATAAGAGCACTCTTGACATGATCAGGATTTGTTGAACTGTTTTGATAGTTTTATTGCCTATTTTACCTTCTCATTTTAGAACACATGGCTTTGAGATTCAAGAAAAGGCAGTGTGGAGGGATAACAGGCCAAAGGCCATCACTTTCAGGGAAGAACCAGATGTATGCAATATGCCAAGAAAAAGGAAAAATTTCAAACAACAGGCCTCACAAGACAAACCATCCTATGATGTACATAAAGAAAACAAGGAGTTCCCTCTCGCTAATGACAAAACACATATTGTGCCAGCCTCTAGGCCAAGCTCAACACCTGAGCAAGAACATAAGCCTAAGACTAGTCCTTCCTTTTGGAAGTCTAAGAAAAAGGACAAGGATAAGAGTGCAACCCCTAGTCCTCAGCCTTACAGATCTAAAACCCCTCCACCACCGTACAATGCAGTGGATCCCAAAAATAAAACTCGCCATCTTGGTGGAAGACAGTACTCTGGGGTACGGTCAGACCCTCCTATTGATCATTTAGAAATGGAAACAGTTTTATGAAGAAATAAGAATGTTAATTATTGGTGTCCACCTCTTAAAGAACCCCACAAAAAGGGCAACAGTCATGTTGATGCAACTTCAGTGCAGCCGATATGCCAAGCATATATTTTCTAGGCTGCAGTACAACTAAAAATTCTAGGCTGGAGCCTCCATATGTGTTTTAAGGTACAGAAAAACCCAGGATGAAGACTAAATGAGACCAAATCCCTCAAAATGGATGTATGGGTTGGTGAAAGAGAAGAATTTGGATGAAAAATACAAATGAATTTACAAAAAGTAATTATCATGATAATCTGGACGTGATGATAATATAATTTTAAAAAAACAAAAACATTATCAATTTATCACACAAAAGATATAGTGAAATGAAGACTTTGCTTGTGTCAATTGTTATTGGTGGCAGGGCTACGGGGCTTACAAGATATATTATTCACTGACAAAGAACAAGGGTGGGAATCTTCGTGCAAGGACAAAAAGAACCAGAGTCCTTAATGTTTTCTCCTATACACAAACTTACTTATTTGTAGGAATGTGGATGATGACAAGCTTTCTTAAAACTTTTACCATACCTGATGCAATTAAACTAAAGGTGAACAAGAAGGGTTTAACAAGTTATGCTATCCATATATGGTTACACAACCCTCTTATGGTTACACAACCTGTGTGGTGCTTTTCACCAGTTTCTGTAAAAAAAAAAAATGATTGAGGATTTGCACTCCACTGGCTGTATAGGATTCTGGTCCATGTCTGATCATTCCCCAATACTCTGCACTTGGAGTTATATATTGTAACAGTACAAAATGCTGGTGCACAGGCTTGAATTATTTTCAGTGTGTCAAGGTACAGCAAGAATGTTAAGCAGTGATGTTATAGGTTGGCAACAAGTCTGCTTCTTTCTCTAGAGGTTATTCAGACATTCAAAGGAAAAAGAAAAAAATTGGGTGCTGGGAGTTTGCAAAGGATAATGGATATGAACTTTTGAAGGAGTACATGTAAGAGTAGGATTCCCACAGAGGCTCATAGTTATTATGAAATGCCCTTAAATGTATCCTGAAAATACATACCAGGGAAACCTATTAAATGGCAGTTGTCATCTTCATTACATTGTTGAAAGAATGACATATTGTAAAATATTGTCCCTGGCAAAGGCAGTTATGTTTACTATAGGATTGAGTTACACCGTGTGGAAATACAATTTCAAACCCTTCACATATATACTTGCTGCATAGTGGATTCATCAGTTAAATTTTCCGGAAAACTAACAAGTTTCTGATGATAATTATAGTTATTTAGATAAAACTTGGCTAGTGTCATGTCAGATCATTACTACCTTCTACTATATCAGGGGCCTCTAAAATAGTATACAAAATTTAAGTTAGGCCCCTGTAGGAACTCACCTAATATATCGTCTGCTATTAAGTATCTACCCTGCCCCTACCCACCCCTTAAACGGTGGGGATAACTGTGGGGTTGGATGTAATCACTCACCTGGGCATCTGGAGTAAGTCATAGGCCATGCTGGACTTGTATTACATAACATGGACAGGGACATGCATATTACTCGACACCTTGGTGTGAAGTTGCCTCTTTAAAGAATATAGTATACAAGAATAGTTCAGATTCTTTTTTGTGCCACAAATAACCACAGGAGTCACATAATATTGGGCAACATTTTTTCAAGGACTCCCTGCAAACAAAAAAATAATTTTTTGAATATAGTGTGTGTTTAAAAAGCTTCCATCCTCAGTTTTATTCTTTTAGATGTGGATAGTAAGAAATAACGAGTAATATGTACATATAGTACTATTAAAAGGAATNTAAGCCTGCTGCAATTAACTTTTATATGCATTGGTTCATATATTTTATTCAAATAGACATATGAAATTTTACTTGCATACAAATACTGAATTTAAAAGCCAATACAAGCATTAAATACCAAACTCCGGATTGTTTTGATTGCCCCAAATTTCAGAGTATGGGCAAGTCCTTGACATTTGAGCAGTCTGTGATGGAAACCCTAGATCTGACAAAGAACTACAAATGCAAGAACCCCATCTGTGAGACACAGCGATGGAAGGTTCAACATGAGCTTGATCTGGCCCTCCTCAAGATAGAAAGGTTGCACATGAGACTGAGGTAACACCGAGCTTGAAAACTTTTAAAAAGCTGTTTTGTAATTGGAATGTTTGATGGTATTTGAGGGAGAAATGTGTTGGTTATACATTTGTACAAAAACTGTATGTGTGGTGGGAATTTTTCAACATTTTTCCAAGGTTTGAGATTTATAACAAAAAAATTTAATGCATTCTGTCAGCAAAACTCAAAACATAATAAGAGCACTCTTGACATGATCAGGATTTGTTGAACTGTTTTGATGGTTTTATTGCCTATTTTACCTTCTCATTTTAGAACACATGGCTTTGAGATTCAAGAAAAAGCAGTGTGGAGGGATAACAGGCCAAAGGCCATCACTTTCAGGGAAGAACCAGATGTATGCAATATGCCAAGAAAAAGGAAAAATTTCAAACAACAGGCCTCACAAGACAAACCATCCTATGATGTACATAAAGAAAACAAGGAGTTCCCTCTCGCTAATGACAAAACACATATTGTGCCAGCCTCTAGGCCAAGCTCAACACCTGAGCAAGAACATAAGCCTAAGACTAGTCCTTCCTTTTGGAAGTCTAAGAAAAAGGACAAGGATAAGAGTGCAACCCCTAGTCCTCAGCCTTACAGATCTAAAACCCCTCCACCACCGTACAATGCAGTGGATCCCAAAAATAAAACTCGCCATCTTGGTGGAAGACAGTACTCTGGGGTACGGTCAGACCCTCCTATTGATCATTTAGAAATGGAAACAGTTTTATGAAGAAATAAGAATGTTAATTATTGGTGTCCACCTCTTTAAGAACCCCACAAAAAGGGGAACAGTCATGTTGATGCAACTTCAGTGCAGCCGATATGCCAAACATATATTTTCTAGGCTGCAGTACAACTAAAAATTCTAGGCTGGAGCCTCCATATGTGTTTTAAGGTACAGAAAAACCCAGGATGAAGACTAAATGAGACCAAATCCCTCAAAATGGATGTATGGGTTGGTGAAAGAGAAGAATTTGGATGAAAAATACAAATGAACTTACAAAAAGTAATTATCATGATAATCTGGACGTGATGATAATATAATAAAAAAAAAAAACATTATCAATTTATCACACAAAAGATATAGTGAAATGAAGACTTTGCTTGTGTCAATTGTTATTGGTGGCAGGGCTACGGGGCTTGCAAGATATATTATTCACTGACAAAGAACAAGGGTGGGAATCTTCGTGCAAGGACAAAAAGAACCAGAGTCCTTAATGTTTTCTCCTATACACAAACTTACTTATTTGTAGGAATGTGGATGATGACAAGCTTCCTTATAACTTTTACCATACCTGATGCAATTAAACTAAAGGTGAACAAGAAGGGTTTAACAAGTTATGCTATCCATGTATGGTTACACAACCCTCTTATGGTTACACAACCTGTGTGGTGCTTTTCACCAGTTTCTGTAAAAAAAAAATGATTGAGGATTTGCACTCCACTGGCTGTATAGGATTCTGGTCCACGTCTGATCATTCCCCAATACTCTGCACTTGGAGTTATATATTGTAACAGTACAAAATGCTGGTGCACAGGCTTGAATTATTTTCAGTGTGTCAAGGTACAGCGAGAATGTTAAGCACTGATGTTATAGGTTGGCAACAAGTCTGCTTCTTTCTCTAGAGGTTATTCAGACATTCAAAGGAAAAAGAAAAAAAATCCGGTGCTGGGAGTTTGCAAAGGATAATGGATATGAACTTTTGAAGGAGTACATGTAAGAGTAGGATTCCCACAGAGGCTCATAGTTATTATGAAATGCCCTTAAATGTATCCTGAAAATACATACCAGGGAAACCTATTAAATGGCAGTTGTCATCTTCATTACATTGTTGAAAGAATGACATATTGTAAAATATTGTCCCTGGCAAAGGCAGTTATGTTTACTAAAGGATTTAGTTACACCGTGTGGAAATACAATTTCAAAGCCTTCACATATATACTTGCTGCATAGTGGATTTATCAGTTAAATTTTCGGAAAAACTAACAAGTTTCTGATGATAATTATAGTTATTTAGATAAAACTTGGCTAGTGTCATGTCAGATCATTACTACCTTCTACTATATCAGGGGCCTCTAAAACAGTATACAAAATTTAAGTTAGGCCCCTGTAGAATTCGAAACTCACCTAATATATCGTCTGCTATTAAGTAACTACCCTGCCCCTACCCACCCCTTAAATGGTGGGGATAACTGTGGGGTTGGATGTAATCACTCACCTGGGCATCTGGAGTAAGTCATAGGCCATGCTGGACTTGCATTACATAACTTGGACAGGGACATGCATTACTCGCCACCTTGGTGTGAAGTTGCCTCTTTAAAGAATATAGTATACAAGAATAGTTCAGATTCTTTTTTGTGACACAAATAATCACAGGAGTCACATAATGTTGGGCAACATTTTTTCAAGGACTCCCTGCAAACAAAAAAATAATTTTTTGAATATAGTGTGTGTTTAAAAAGCTTCCATCCTCAGTTTTATTATTTTAGATGTGGGTAGTAAGAAGTAACGAGTAATATGTACATGTAGTACTATTAAAAGGAACTACTTGAATTGTGATGCCAGTAAAAGATATTTCATACATTTATGTACCCAAAGCATATCTTGTTGTGCCATGCTTGCTTCATTAACATACTCATATGTAAGGTAGATCGCTCATACATCATCATTTAATTCATCTATAATATATGCAACTGCAAATTGTCAGCTAAAATATTGCTATAATTGTAACTGTTAAGAAATGCTTGTCTTTATATTCCAAGGGCACAATTTCTAAAGTATGTAAAGCGCAACAAACATTTAGTAAGTAAAATCTGAAACTTGCCATCAGAAATTTTGTTTTAGACAGCTCAGCAACCAGCTTGGAAGAAATTTCAAGAAAAGACACAAGTTGTAACAGAATGGTTCTTGCATGTGCCAAAGGCATCCATTTCTTAAGTTCGCCAAATTGGTTACTTCATTTTACTCGCTGTTGGTGTTTCTTTCATACCTGAGTGAAATATGACTTTTCATCTAACATTGCCAGTCAAATAAAATGTTCTTCCTAGAAATGAAGCAAGTTATTTGTTCAAATGTGCACTGTGTATAAACCAACATGTCATACCTACCAAGTTTACTGATGGAATTATTAAGTCACATATTCCTGCAAACCTGCCATGCCCCACTTTCTTCAACACTATCCAGTGGATGGAATTGTTATCCTCTGATCAGTTATTCTGTGGGCAAAATAATGTTTTTTTAAAACTCTACATATTTATTTTTCTTATCTGATATTACTATCCGTTAGTTGAAGATAGCTGATCATGATGGGCTAGCACTATCCACATAACTGTCTAGAGGAAAACAATTATCCAGTGTTATCCGTGGGATAGTGCTATCCAGTGTTGATAAAACTGCTCCCTGATGTAGTAAATGCTCCTTAACTCGCATTGTAAAGAAAGCATGATTGAGTCCTGGTCACAGCTGATAAAACAATCAACTAAAAATTTTTTAATATATTTCTTGTCCACACCAATTATCTTAGCTGAGAGGAAAAATGTTAAGTTTGGATTTATAGCCTGCTATTTGTACTGAATGTAATAAACCGAAGGAAGTTTTCAATCACTATCGTTCACTTAGCTCACTTACGTAAGTAACCTTTTACTCTCACGATCGATCCAAGATTCTTTGGTCTAAAACTTCACGTAAGTGGGTGCGACAGAAACCAAGTCAACCACAAGGATAAATCAACGTAACGCTAATTTATAAGGCAACTGACCCCCCCCCCAAATCAATACAAAAAGTGGCTTTTATACAAGTTTCCTTTATCACTATGATCTTACGCAGATTCTGTGCTGCAAGCCCGTGTGCTGCTTGTGCACCAACAGTTAATTGTCTCTAATTACATCATTATGTTGTCGGGAGTGTCTCTTGAAATCCAGGCGCTCCCAATATCAGGTAATGGCAATTTGATCTCTCTCAATCATGGAGAAAAATGATCCATGTTGGCCTCACAGGTTTCTGCTACCACAGTAACATATACTGACAGTCAATGAAAATGCATCAGAAAACCTCTTGTACTTTTTTACCGAGAATCAATTCCAACCATAAAAACAAGTAAAAAAGCACTTGTTTGGTCATAAGAGTCACCTTGTTTGACTGAATAATGGGTCATATTTCACACAAAAACTTATTTTCTTAATGTTCCAAAGGAACTTCAAATATTTGATAAACAAATGCGTTTTCATTGACTGTCAGTATATATATTACTGAAGACAACTTGAAAACAAACACACAGGATCAGAAAATATTATGGTACCACTTCAAATTATTATTGATTCAAGATCAACCCTTTTATGGACAAAATATACATTTTATAAACTTATTTACAGAGCATGTTTCAGTGCTTGTCAGCATAACAGTCTGAAGAAATAAATTCTGCTCTCAGTATGCAGAGGTGCTCCCCTTGGTAGTTCCAGTTCATATTAGTTTTCACAACAACCACCCAACAGTACTGGAAAAATATTTCTTAAATGAATTTTTAGAACAGTTTCAGCGTTCTCGGTTGGGTGACTCAACAGAGAAATTTGTAGTAGCTGAAAGACTGAAAACTAAACTTATAACTGGTCAAGAGTCATCTGCCATGCTTTGTGAGTGTAGGTGGCTGATAGAGTCTCTTAGTTGACAAACTGACTGGAAACTTGTCTGTAAGGATGCCAAGGCAGAGGATATATCTGTAAGGACAGTCTCCTAAAAATAAAACCAAACAGTATGGGATTACATTTGGATACACAATATCACAATAATTTTCAACTAAGAATGCCTTTAATTTTCTTTAATCATCAATAGTGTTCACTAGTATAAGAAAATGGTTACATTAATTATCACTGGTTATGGTATAGCAAAATCTGATCAACATAATCGAAATATGGTCCAACAGAAGAAATAAGAACAAAACAGTTACTGACCAGCTGTCCATCTCCAATGTCTACTTTCTTTGCCCATTCTATGTTGTCCAGTTGATTGGTCAACTCTGCCAGTATGGGAGCCAGCATAGGAAACACCTGGCTAACATACCTAAAATATCAATATGAAATGACATAGCATGGACAACAAAATACACAGTACGAATTGTAAAATTTGGTAAAAAAAGGTACAGATCAAAAAGTGAAGATATATGATTTCCTTTTCAAGTTAAAGAGCAACTACAGGTGTATCTCTTCCAGGGGGTTCCAGTTCAGATTATACATAACCTAATTCCAAGAGATTAGGTCCTTGTAGTCTTTAGGAGGGAAACGAGTATTGTAAACGCTGACATGACTTGCAGCAGCAGGAGACAGAAGAGACAGGTTGGGACTAAAACCATGAGTACTGTCAGTTCTAATAAGAACTAACCTGTGATACGTTGCTTCAATTTTAAGGTAATCCCCAACAAATGGCTGCTGTAGTCTTCCTATTAAATGACTTTTATTGTTGACAATGGACTGGAGATGAGTGCACAGCTTGGTGATGTCTGCAGACCTCTTCTCTACAATACCAAAACATGTCAACTAGACTATGAAAACAATTATACTTTTAAACCCTAAAATAATAACAGTCATAAGTGCTTCAGTCACAATTATTATTATAGTCCAAGAAGGTTCATGTTATACAGAAATATCACAATTACCTTCGATGCAAGAACTCTGTATAATTTGTGTACCTACCAAGTGTGTCCATGTGTGTAACATCTCTAGTTTCTTTATCTTGAAACCGACATTGAATTTCTAGATTAGCCTAGAATGAAAAGAAGCAATTTATAAAAATAAATAAATAGCTTGTGTCTGCATGAAGCTTTGAAAGAAGTGAATGCATATTTCCAAATTGCACAAATATAGAAAATTTTACTTCAAGTTTACCTTATCCAGCTGTTTCTGGGTTTTTGAAATTTCTCTCAGCAAGGTGATAAATTTAAGAGAAGAAACTTCTGAGTAGAGTCTCCTCCTGGATACATCATCATCAGGGATGCAAGCATCCTGCAATAAAAACAAATGATATTAAATGTCACTTGGTAAGCCTTACTTACTTACTGACACTCGTGCATAGGGTAGAATAACTATAACTATAACTGTGCCATGTATAATACAGACAATGCATACTGGTAATGCTGCCTAAGAGACTGAGAAGTTATAAATATGGCAGTACAGCATGCTTCAGATAAACCATGGAAGTCTATTTACTTCCAAGGATAAACTTCTATGTAAAATGTTATTATTGTCTTTAGAGCCTGAATTGGGAAATAAAAGAAGCTTTCAAGGACATAAATATGACAGTGGAGGATTTCCAAAACGTGGAAATATCCCGTAAAATTAATTTTGGCATGAAAATCCTTTAAACGTTATCAAACTGGCGCGTGAACCGATACAAAATTACTTAAATTACAATGATATACAACAAGGTAATTCACAAGACTGTGGGTATTTATGGTCTCCAGAGTTTCTAACACACAGTTGTTATGAGATCTCATTTACGTAGCACGTAAGGCCGAAAACTGGGGCAATAAGTCGCCTTACACCCCATTCTCATAGATTAGATCGACCTACATTGGATCGACCTAACTCCCTGGGGGTTCACGCTAAATAGCTGTCAGCCGGGCGGACACGAAAGTTAATTACCCCTTAAAGCTTGTAGTAGGCGGGGACGGACACTTAAGGGGGATTATCTGACAGTAATCTAGTGAGACTCCCCGCGGTGATAGATCGATCTAAAAGTTGTGAGAACAGAGCCTTACTTTCAAGCCTTTGATGTGGCCAGTTCTCTCGGCAATTTTCAAAACGCTGCTTATTGTACCTAGCGCCTTATCATCATCGACCCACGGGTTGAATTGACTGTCAGGAACGTCCTCCATAATCATATGAAGTATAGATCTCGGATATGTTCTTTTAAGCTAGCAGAAAAAGCATTCATTTCTCAATACGAAAATAAGTTGCCACAAAATTTCCGCCGTCTTGGCAAATTGTGGTCTTCGAATGCAAAAGAGCTGCAGTGCGGAATAAAATATCATTAATGTCCCAGGTATAACGCGTTCAGTTTGAGTTTATAACAGCAAAATATACTGTAAGCATAAGAAAACTTATAAAGGCAGCCTAGGTGGTAATTAGTGTATTATTTTGCTTTAATTTAGCACTTATCACAAGGACTATTTCCCGGAAGTTGGAAGTGGATATTTGCAGGCTGTGGCTAGGCTAAAATCGACGTGTTGTAGATTAGGTAGCTAAAGTGAATTTAATGATGTAAATTTGGTTTTGTATTGTCTAAGGTAAGTGATATCCACTGTCATATCATGTAAACTGGCAGATGTATTTTACTGAAAAATCGGAGCGTTCAATATCACCAATTTTTTTCTTGGAAGTCTTCACTTAAAAATGAAAGTCCTATAGCTCTATTTAATTTAGTGCATGTGTCACTGTGTGTGTGTCTCTCTCTCTGTGTGTGTGTGTGTGTGTGTGTGTGTGTGTGTGTGTGTGTGTGTGTGTGTGTGTGTGTGCTTGAGTGAGAGAGAGTGAGAGAGAGGGTGAGAGTAAGTAAAGGCCCAAAATAAAGAAATGAAGCTAGGTAAGGTGAATAAAATCGAGTAATTTAAATCCTATAACTGAGGCAGAGTTTGTTGAAGGGGGAAGGGGGGAGGGTTATCTGCCATATTTATAGGGTTTACTGGTATTTAACGTCAAACAACCATACTAAACCATGACTAATTACTTTAGACCAGTTAACAGTTAATTATTTTTTTTAAATATTCCATCTCATTATGTTATATTACATATTTTGTTATGCTTAAACCTTTTTTACTCTGGACAAGGAGTCGATTACTCATTTAATCTTTGTATTTTCATATTTTATCAATTTAATTATTTTTTTTAGCATGTAGTGTGTATTACAGAGCACATTACTCTTAAGTTGACTTTCTACTAGTATTTGCCAGGTGAAATAGCATGATCTAAATGTTTAACTAATATCCATTAAGGAATTACACCAAGTCATCTAAAAATAATGAAATAAAAGCTGATACAACTGTACATGTTACTATGTATGTGAATTTTTCCATTTTAATGTGATTATTGTACATTTCTAGTGTCTGTGATGCCTACTGCAATCTAAGTTAATTACATATTACAATAATGCATTTTTAATTTTATTAGATGAGCAGAATGAGTGGGCCAGACTTGAAGAACAACCCATTTACAGCCCTCTTTCCATCAGTGTTAGATGCTCAGCAATTTGCAGCTGGAGTCAAGGATGCGTTAGGTGAGATTACCTCATTGTGTTCATCCCATTGCTGCAGCTTTTCTTTCTTTATGGTATTGGTATATCATAATTAAATTTGCAGTAGTTATGCATTAAATGGAATGTTTTCATTTCTTTTTAGCTACTTCTGATCAAGACATAAGTGAGTCCATTTTCAGTGACCAAGGGAAAGCTGAGGAAGTAGTCCACCTTAATAACCTCATTGAAAGAATATTCTTAATTACTTTAGACCAAAGTAAGTTTGTTTTAAGGCTTTTTATTTTTAGTTTTGAAAAACATTGTAAATTATTTCACCTATGTTTATACATAATGTTACATTGTTACTATTAACTCATGGATTGTAAATAATTTATGAAGTATTGTGCACGTTAATAAGATATTAGATCATAAATATTGCTTTATTAGGTGTAAAAATGCATGCATTCATAGTGAGTATATCTAAAAAAACTACTTTGATTATTGTCAGCAAAAACATTTACAGATTAGTTTACTCAGTAATATCATGTCATGTTGGTTTGTTACTCCAGCATGCACATCAGACAAGTTCAGACCTGCAAAGGCAGTTTTCATGGCAGAGTTTCAATTAACACTGGGAGGACAAGACTGGTTAGATTTAGAGATTTTAGAAACTGTAAGTGAACACTATTTGTGTATATGTATGCATATTTATGTTGGTGCCACACATGTCAGGTCTGTGCATTCTTCATAGGAGAAATATTCATCACATGCACATGCAGGGAAAGCGCAGTGTTTTGAAATAAACAAAGTGGGGAAATTGATAAAGCCTGCCAGTGTTTACTGTATGGTTGATTTGATTAAATTTGCTTTCTTGTTTTGTTTTGAGGGAGTTTATTGGAAATATCTTGTTGATTGTGTGTATTTTAAAAAAGGTAAGTTCATTGGAATTTGCTTGGGATGACATTTTATTATCTTATCATATATTGTCAGGGGATTACCTTTGTATTGTCATTGATGGGGAAAATGTCCACTTTTTCAGAGAAAAAAAAACACTTAAGACATTGCTGACTACAAACCTTCCATTACCTGATTTAATGGTAAATAGTTCACCAGAGATTCCTTAATATATCTGCAATTTTTACACCTGCTAAATGTAATCAGCTTTGTTATTCATTATCTTTGTTTTTAGTGTTTATTTGAACGACTAGTTTTCGAAGAGCCAGATAAGCACATAGTAAAGACAAGCAAGACTGGAGAACCTGACAGGACAGTGACAGAGGGGAGAGTGCTGTTTTATCTTTATTATGCATATGTGAGAGCTGTACAGGAAACCAAGAAGATAGAGGATGTAAGTTTTTTTAAAAAAATCATTTTATCGTTTTTCAAAATTTATTTATTTACTTATTTTGATAAATCATTTATTTGAAATCTCCATCACACATTGAATACTTTTCCTAAAGATGTATGTCAGTGGTGCATTCATTAAATTTAGTGGCACTATGATTTTAAAGTTTTAGCATTTAAACATTTATGTATACCTTAGTTATTCTATCTAATAGTTTTATCTTTTAAACCTAGGATGCCACATCTTTAGATGTAAGATTGTTTATGCAAGCATTTCTAAAAATATTCCTGCCATTAGACATGCTCTCATACAAAATTACTCCATGAGTAAACTTGCAAAAAAAAAAAAAATACAGAGATAGAAGCAAATGAACTAATGTTTATTTAGATACACAGTCAAATTTGTACATGAAATTGTACTCATTAACTCAAGTAACAATTGAGCAAAGCTTTAACCACAGCTTCACATTTGGTTGCACTTTTATGGATGTGCATAGTGCGTATGATCTGATGACAACTCATAGATGTAAAGATATCAAATCTAAAGCCAACTAATAGCATGTAAAATATTGATGTAGTGATTCATACTTTTTCACAATTCGATGATCTTGACTTGTAAGTGACTATTCATAATTCAGTAGCTTGAAGTGGCTTTTATGCTGAATTAAATAGAGTGAACTGTTTTTTTGCCAACAGTTGACTCATGTCACATACACAGCAAATTATTTCATCATCTTTTGTGAATTTTAGCCTGAATCATTGAAGTAAAATTGAAGACATGTTCGTGATTGGATTTTAATTCTTTTCAAATTAATATGAAATACTTAATGTGCAGTTTTATATGTTGTGCCTTGTACATGTATAGTTCACTCTGGAAAACATGTTTAACATTTTATGGCATAAAATCTGCTGGCCAGAAACCATATCACCTAGGCAGACAATTACACAAACGTTTCCCTGGGAAACCCTTCATTGTCAAGGAGGATATTGTTATTCGTGTGGTTCAGTAGTTCTTCTTCAGTGATGACAAGATTTGTTTGATAGTAATCTTTAATTGTGGCTCTTATTTTGTGTTTTAGACACTCTTCTTCAATACTACTCTTAGAGTGTAGGAAATCGAGCAGCTTTGGCAGGGTAGCAGCAAAAAATGTGGCCACCGCATGTCCCAACCCAGTGATGTTGTGAATACTGAAAACATCCACAATTTCAGCCACATATGAGAGAAATAAAGCTATCAGTATCAGTTTAGCTAGGGCAGGGAGTTCTGCTTCACGCACAGGCACATGTTTGTCAATTATGATTTTATACAGAGCTCTGGGAATCATGGGAATACCATCTTTTCTATACACTACCAGGGACTGAGCTAGGGGTGGTTTGTTTGCTTCTTCTGCCTTAATTCTTTGATTTTCCCATTCTTTCTCACATTCCTCAAATATCATCTTTTTGACTGACCTGTATTTTTCATCTAGTTTGTAGAAGGTACTGAAGACATAGTAGGCACCTACCAAAATGATGGTCAGGATGGGAAGTATATCAGCATAGTATTTCACAATGCCTTTTATGGTGTACAGAACAACCAGGGTTAGTTTCTGGCATGTTTTTATGAATATCAGGTGAGCAAACATAAGACCCAGCACAGTGATGCTTCCACCGATAAGAAATAGGAATCCTTTTCCAAAGTTCTTGTATCTAGTTTTACAGTAGCTGATCAGCCTGTTAGCCTCTGCCTGGTCTGTTACCATGGTTACTAAGTATTCCCAGGGGAGACAGTTGACCAGAGGAAACAAGAATGCCAGGGACACAAAACACATCAATAATTTGAATGGTTTGACCAAAATTTCTTTGGTGGATTTACCTGAACAGCTAAACAAGATCTCCTTGATTTCCAAAACCCAGAATTTCCAGAATCTTGGATCTGCAATGAGTGATAAACGAAATGCCATTTTGTGATACATTTTCTCTATAGTGTGAAGCTCCCTCTCCGGTATGTGTAAGCAGTCAGGAAGCCGCAGCACACCAAGGTGTTTGTTGTTCACCATCAGTTGATCCACCATTGATGTAAGACTGCCTTCTATGGCACTGAAGAATGACATTATAACATACATCACAAGATAGAGAAGCCCAACCATGAAAGATGGCTCAGTGTAGGAGTTGGCATTTAAGTAATGATCAAAATAGTCAAAATCTGCTATCTTTCCAAAGATGCTGAGATTAGTTTCTAATTTTTCCCTCAGTTTGATATCACTGTGATACATTAGGAAATCCACTGCAATGACAGCGTACACAACACTGGGGTATATCACCAGGAAAAACACCAGCCTCCTAAGGCGACAAACCCAGCTACTTCTTACATGCATCAGAAAGAGGTAACTGAATGGATGAGAGATGCGGACTGGGGTGGAGGAGTTCAGGGGAATATAGTGGCTTGGGCACCCACATTGCTCTTCCTCAGGCTGCTCATCATTTCTTGCCAGATGATGCTGATTCTGAGCTCCAGCAGCTCTGTCCAGAGTTTGATTTTGAAGATTATCACTCTCCTCCACAGCTACATCTTCAGTGATGGTGACGGCTTCATCAGCATTGCTGAGAATGACAACAGTGTTTCTTTTCTTGACATGGCAGTTTGATGATTTTGTCATTTGATCAGTTGGTGAGGCGTCAGTGGACCTGTTACCAATCCTCTCACTATGCAGGGGCTCCTCTAGTGTTAAGCAAATGTGGTGCTGGGTTGTCGTACTCCCCATAGAACTCGGGCAGACATCTTGGTCACCAGGGGGCAATGTGGTGTCTTCACCTTCTATGGACAACCTGACGTGTTTCTGCCTCGGGAGTACTTGCAGCTGGTCATTTTGATGTATGGGCTCTTGGTCTTGCTGCCTTACGCCATCATTTTGTCCTGGACAATTTTGATCTGTCAAAACATCTGCAGCCACACCTGCAACTTCAGTGCCCTCAACACCATTGCTTTGCAGAACTGGAGGACTCTGTGGACTTTCTAAAGTTACACTCATTGGTCTTCCACATATCAACTCTTTGGGGACACATTTACCCTTCATGTTATGTCCCACAGAGTCCATTCTTTTATATTTGTAGCAGGGTTCTCTCAGGTTAGCGATCCTCCCAAGTCTGTTCACAGTGTACACCTGTTCCTCTGTGGGAAGCAGGCTGATGGCCAGTGGGCTCACCAGGAATATCAGGGTGTACAGCAGTGTCATATACAACCCACCTATTTCTAACAACAGGTACTCGCAGTAGCCAAAACCAGAGTGGGTGATATTTACACTGTCATATTTGTCTTGCTGGGCCAAGTCACAGCATTTGTGCTGGAAGTAGAAACTATCTGCTGCCTGCTGATATGGGGCGAGGCGGGAATAACACAGGGATGACTTGATGGTAGAATTTTTCCCTAATATACCTCTGACTGTTGTTTTGATGAGTAAAATCTTATGTTCAAGTTTGAGTGTATTCAGACACAATGGTGGGTGCAATGTAATGTCCAGTTCCAAATTTTTAGTATGCAAAGATAAAGTATTCAGAGAATATGCTGCAAACCTGAAGTCCATCTCCAGCATTGGCTTCCCAGATTGATTTTCCACCCAGATCCACTTGTTCAGCTCCACCATAATGGAAACATCCGTGTCCATTTTAGTCCCTGGGGGAAAGTTTAGGGTTAAGTAGATAATGTCTGCTCTATCAATAAAGATGTACTTTTCCATCTTCATGGCTGACAACTCTGTGACTGTCAGGCCACAGTCTAATATTGTCAACCCATCATCTTTCAGAGGGGATTCTGGAACAAACTTGCCCCTTGGTATTGGATATCTGTCTTGAAAGCAAAATATCTGGGAAATACTGCTTAAACTGAACAAAAGATATATAACACACATATTTCCAGATTCCATTTCCCCCAGTGTTGTTCAGTTATGTAAATATAAAATCCAAATAACTGTTGTTATTGTTTTTGTTAATGGAAGAACTCTTGAAGTCACCTCTGAAAAAAGCTCACAATAATAATGCTGTCTTGGGTTTTCTCTATTTTAGTAGCAGTAATAAGTCTCTCATCCTCTTCGTGTCTGTCTGTCACACTGAACAGATAGAGTTCAAAGACAAAAAATATCCTAGATCACATCAGGATCTAATCTCGGACCTGACTGAAGTTAATGTCTTTGTTCTTGATGTAATTTCTCTTTGCGCGTGTCTGGAAGCTGTGTTTTATTGATCTTTGTAGCAAACCCAGAATCAATACTGGCATATATACATACATTAACCTATCTCTGAACAACCTCAGTTCCCAGAACAGATGGCTGAGATAATTGTGTAATGAAGCATAAGCCGCAGGGAATCTAGATATTGATTTGCCTTCAATAGGAATGATGTTTTTACTTTGTTACAGTGCCTTATCTAGGGTACTCTTATATGATTTTGTGCGTGAGGTGTCTATGACGCTGTTTATGTTCTCTGTATATTGGGTACCAAATGATTCAAAGACTTTAAAGATTTGATATTTTCATAGAGAGAATATAACTGACCAATTTGAGACAAGGAGTGATAAATGGATTTGAAAATATGAATATTATATAACCTAAATAGTTTGATTAGTATTTTGTGTGCTATATGCAAGACTTGTTTCAAATACAGTAGGGAGCATATGGCATTATATTGTGATGTCCTCAGGAGAGGGACACATTCCATTATTTTTCCTTTAGGTTCCCTAAAAATTCATGCAGACATGCTCAAGACCTGCAGCAAGTCAAAAATAATAAATGATCGTATTTAATGAAAAGCAATGCAGGATAGACTGTGCAGTATTTATGAACATTAACTAACAAATAGCCTTTGAGAATTGTCTCTGTCCAATACCTACGCATACAGAACATGATTTAGCACCAATGAACAATCTCAAAATGCCAGCAAGAAGTTTTTTATTGGCATTTCTGTTGATTGTGAATGCAAACTCAGATAAAACGTATAGGCTCCTCTCAAGTACTTTAAGGCACATCATTTGTACATTAAAGCAGATTTTTTTATTTATTTATTTTTTTTTTTTTGGGGGGGGAGGGGGGAGGGCAAAAGTTGCAGGTCTATTTTTTTGTCCCTTCCCTCACATCATTATCCAAAGTCCATCAAGAATTAAGTGTCAGTGCTGTGACTGTCATTTAACTTTTCTTCAAATTTCCATTGCATTCCACTTAATGGTTGATATGTAATTTCTCTCTCCCTGATGGTTGATTTATAAGTACCTTATTTCACTGGATATGTTTTCCCTGGATGGAGCTGGTGCTCAATCGTACCCACTAATGGTTTTTCTGGTGTAATGGAGCATGTCTGAGAAGCACTCTAAACAATAGTACATTTTTCTTGTAGTTGTACTTATTGCATTTTTGATAAGCACTCTTTATCAAAAGAAAATAATTGCATTTATTTTTGATTAGTACACTTTATCAAAACAAGATTACTGCTTTCTTCATACATGTATCAATCGTGAATACATGTAATACAAATGTACTTATACTATTGCTGTGTTCTGATTAAGTTTGAATAAAAACATTTACTAACAAACGACAGTTTAAAAACCCATGAACCACTCACTGGAATTAGGGTGAAATATGTGTCTGTTTACAAAAAAATAAAATTAATAATAATAATAATAATAATAATAATAATAATAATAATAATAATAATATGTCAGACGTACATTTAGATTTTACATCTGAAGTGAAATGCCCACAATTCACAAGACTTGTGAATTATAATTTGAGCACTGCATATGCGTTAGTTATATCTTATTTCTAGTAGGCCCTATATTTTTTTTCAAGACTGAAATATCTTTATTTTTGATTTGTCTTTCAGGAGAGCTACCTGAGTTTTGTCACTGTGATAAAGGATATCATCATCAGAAATGGTAAAACAAGCCTCCAGACGGCGCCACTGTTTGTTGGGCAGGACCCTGGTCAACAGTTTTTGGATATATTCATGGAGGAGCACAGAAATTCCGGTAATATTCAACATTATTTCAACTGACATTGCATTGTCTCCTAACGAAAGTAGTTGCAGTTGAAAGAGATGGAGCACAAATCTTTTATGAAAAGGCAAACTGGAATAATTGATTACATATTCAAATACACGTAGGTAGTTAAAAATATTATGTTTTAAAGAATTATGGGATGTAAATGAAAGTTGATATGAGTAACATATATTCACTGAGACTCTGATTGGTTTTTCAAACAAACATTAATAAATGTTCCATATTTTTACAGATTCTGAAATAATGATGGAATTTTTAGAGTTAGTTGCCTCAGAAATTGACAGCCACCAAGAAGATGGCAGTTTAGCTCAAATCTTGAGACCAGTTTTAGATCAAGTTACCACCACATTTCACAAAGAACTTGGGCTTAATAATCCTAGGACATTTGACTTTGTAGAGTTTGTCTTATTCATGACAAGGACAGAGTGTCTCGGAAAAGTAATTTTTTGTTTAAGTACTTATTGTTTAAATTACAAAAAACAATGATCGCCATTTAAGTGAAAACTAAAATTGTGTAATTAAATTGTAGATAAATTTTGGTGAGTGAAATGCTTAGCCAATTGACATGAAAATGAAGTTCTAATTGTATTATGATTGCATATTGACCTTTCCAGTTTCCATCAATTCTTCATTGATAAACATTTTGTTGATATATATATTTATATGTTGACCATTCTTAATCTCCAGGTTTTTATGGACTATACAACCCCTAGAGACATAAAGACTGCTAAGAATTTCGAAATGTCTTTACTTGGGTGTACTCTCTCCATAAGTTGTATACCAGAGAACCCTCAGGGACCATTCCAGTTCTTCACTGAGCCCTCTACAATGAGACCCAGTGAAGTGGAAATGACAATGCACAGCCTATGGCAGGTAAGGTTTAGACTGTCCCAAAATTTATTTATATTATTATTTTTTGATCAGTTTATTTTTATTTTTTATTATTCATTTGTTTCAATTTTTAAAGAACTATTTTGAAGCCTTTTGTTAGGCTTTTTCTCTTATAACAAAATATATAACTATGTACAAATTTAAAATGGGTGTGCATTTTACACTCAGCAGCTTTCCATTTCCCGTAGTCAAATCAGAAATGAACTTAGGATACCCAAAAGGCAGTTGTATAAAATTTATTTATTTATTTGTCACTTTTTCAAGCCTATAGCAATTTTGAATGAGAAAGTCCACAAAATGATCTACAACTTGCTGAAATTGTCTGAAGAACTGAAGCACAGAACTTTGGAGTGGCTGGGAAACTGTTTAACTGCAAATCAGGGTAGGTGGTGCTGATGACCAAATTTGACCAAAAGTGTTTGAATAATGTAGCACATTTTTTTTTGCCCAAAAATTGAGATGTTTGTAATATCAGATTAATTTTAGAATTTTATGACATAATTTTCAGGTCGGGCCAAACTGTGGTCGAATCATCTTCCGCCAGAGTTACTTAACAGAATGTACTGTAGTGATGGTTTCTTCATCAACTTGTGTGCTGTATTGCTTCGTCTGTGTAAACCTTTCTGTGCAGCCCAGTCTCCTAAACTGCTCAAAATACAATTATCATACTGTGCTGTGGAAATGAAAACTGTAGAAGAAGGAAGAGAGAGAAATATGCATTTAAAAGGTACATAACAAATTTTACTTAGCATGCCTTCAGATAAGTTTTTTAATTACTTTTTAGTTGGCTCACAGGTTGAAAAAAAATAGAAAAAAAAAACAGGAATTTTTGTCTTCCAAAAAAACTCCTATGTATAAAAAAGTGTAACAAGCAGGCATTATTTGGAATGCAAAATAGATTTCATTACTAGCTTACAACTTAACTCAACTCAGGTTGAAGTGTGTGCCCCTTGTAGGATGCCCCCTTTTTAAAGACATTTGCAAGATGTCCATAAGTGGCATTTTCTTGACAGTAGATCCAAGCAGCTGTATTTGTGAATCAATTTGCAACAATGACTATGTTAAGTGCATGCTGCAATTGGAGTGTTTATGCTAATATTGCCTTTTCCAGGGCTGAACAAAGAGACATCTCTGATTCCTCCACCAGAGGGCAGTGTGCCATATCCAGGAGAAGACAAATTCAACTTCCTGACAGAGTGCTTCATGATGACCCATTACTGTCTCCACCTGGGAATTCACGTCATTCATGAGAAGTTCATGAGGCTGAATCAGGAGATGGGTCAGCTAGAGGGGGCTTATAGAGACCTTGTCAATTCAGGGGCAGAGGGCTCAGCCATTGGGAGGCAACTAAAGGATAGGTTTGAAAAAAGTAAACATGATAACATTATAATGCACATGTACATACAAGTTATTTCAGTGTGTATGGCATATTGAAGAAGATTTGTATAAACATTTTAAATTGTTTAAATAGAAAAGTTATATGTATGTTTTAGGTGATTTTTATGAACATCGTAATTTGTACACTGTTTATATAAAAATATTACATCATACTTTATGGTGTATTTGGCCTTCTTTTGATTGTGTTCAGTTTACATTGATAACACACATGTACTAGTACATTACATCTACTTAATTTATCATGAGTATTTTTACACAGGTTTTCAAAAATTATTCTTTCTGTTTCTCCAGGAATGAGTATGTTCCAGTGTGTAAGGGCCGCCCTGCTGGAACCACAAATTGTCCAAATGAGTCTTCAGCTCCATGTTGCCTCAGCAACATTATTAGTCAACTTGGCTGCCGGTGGAGTAGAGAGTTTCTTACAGGAAATTTGTTTCCCACTCCCTGATCCAGTGCCTGATGTGCTAACAGTTGTTCCAGAGTTCTTGGTGGAAAACATGGTGGACTTGGTTGTATTTATTAGAAGATTCAGAGATGAAACATTTGAGGTATGATTGTTGAAAAATATAATTTCTCCATTTAAAAAAAAACAAAAAGAGTTAAGTAAGTGTTATGTAATTGATTTTGAAATAAAAAAGGGTGTCAATTTTGGAGTGAGCTTTCTTGATATATTTCCCTATTTACATGTTTTAAAATGACTTACTAACCTTTGGCATATATATATTTTTATGAGTACCCAGTGCATAGTGAAACATGTTCAGTTTTTTCCTGAAGACACATGTAACTTCTAATCTAGACCTTTCACATTGCAAAAAATATGGTAGATTTAGTCATGCTGTGATGAGTTGATTTTGTATCATTTTAGATTATTGGTGGTGATATATCGCACTTTGCCTCTCTGATCCTAGTGTTTATGGGAAGCCCCCAGAGAATGAAGAACCCTCACTTGAGAGCAAAACTGGCTCAGACGCTAGAAAATCTCATGCCAGTGCAGAATGAGATGAAAGCAGGATTGATAGCAAAGTGAGAATGCAATTTCTAATCAGTAACCTTACTTTTTTTATTAATTTATTTTGCTGAGCCTCATTGTGAATTTCTGGTTCTGGTATATGACAAAGATTAGCATGGGCCTTCTTTGTTTGAATAATACAGCTTAAATTTTTTTCTAAAATCTTCAGAGGATATTGAAATTTGAAATATTAAGGATGATTTTTAGAAGTAAAAAGCATAATTAAACTTTGTATCTTGGGTGGGATTTTGTTCTCATGGTACTAGGAATCAAACTACTTTCCTGCATTGAAATTTTTCCTCTAGCTACCACAGAGAGCAGCTGTTTGTGAAGCACCCGCTGATCCAGCATCTTGCTGAGACCCTGCTGCATGTGTTTGTCAGCATAGAGATGACAGGCCAGGCAGTGCAATTTGAACAGAAATTCAACTACAGAAGGCCCATGTACAAAATACTGGATTATATTTGGAATATTGAAATCCACCATGAAGCATTGAAGGTTAGTATACAGCATATAAGGTTACAGTTTTAGTATACTCAGCATTTTGATGATTGAGCAATGTACTCGCCAGATACTCACATTTGCAAACCAAACATTTCGCACCTAAGTATTAGTTAGAAATTTTCTTCCTTTGTCATTTTAAAGCAAGATGCAAGTTTTATGGATCTATTATGGATCATATTGTAAAGATGGATAACATCATTGTTTTAAATTATACTTACAGAGGCTGTCAGCACATGCAGAAGAGCACATAGAAGATTCAGATGCTCCTCTTTTTCTTCGGTTTATAAATCTTCTTGTGAATGATGCCACTTTTCTTCTTGATGAAGCTTTAATGGTGGGTTCAACATAAAATAGTGTGAACTTCTTCAAACGCAGGTCTTCAAATTTCCGTAGTCACATACAGATGCAGTTTAGAATATCAGCAGTGATGATGAAAAAATAAATCATTATTAAGGAGACTGAATGTGTCCTTCACCTGTGACACATGATGTTTACACACTGTAATATGCCTCATTGGTAAATATCATGTCTAGTCTCTCCAGAAACATTATTATTTTAATCATCATACCCAATAGACAATATAAAATCTATTTTACCCTGCGATATGCGCAGCATTTTTTTAAGATAAGATAAAATTAACTTTTGCTTATTCTGTCATGCAGTACATGAGCCAGATCAAAGAACAGCAGGAAGAGAAAGACTCTGGGGCTTGGCAAAACTTGCCTGAAGACCAGCAAAGAGAGAAAGAGAGTAATTTGCAGCAATTGACCATGTTATCAAGATTTCATAACTTGATGAGCAGAGACACTATCCATATTTTGGAGCTTCTTACCAGGGACATACAAACTTTGTTTATACATAATATTATGGTGGATAGGATAGCTGCAATGTTGAATTATTTTCTTATACATCTGGTGAGTTTTTAGACTATTTTGGGACACCGTTCTAAAGATGGTATATTATCCATTGAACATCTCAGTAGGGTTGGGTTTACAAATTTTTTACTGTCTTTTCATTTACCTTATGCAGGTTTAATGCATGTATATATATTCCAATTTGTGAATATGTTTAAAGATCTTTTCCATTCTATTTCTGCCATAAATTTAAGAATGATTCTCAATCAGCTGTTTTCCTACATGTAGGTGGGTCCAAAGAAGAAGAACTTAAAAGTAAAAAACTTTGAGGAGTTTGAATTTAAGCCCCAGCTCATAGTGTCAGATATTTGCCAAATCTACCTGAATTTGGGCAGCCATGAGGCTTTCTGTTTGGCAGTGACAGCAGACGGCAGATCTTACTCTCCAGATCTTCTGCCACAGGCAGAGAGAGTGCTCCAGAGAATTGGGAAACCTGTGCAAATGATCTCAGAGTTTGCTGGTCTTGCTGAGGAGATTAAGGTACATCAAGGCTGCCTCTAAACCAAAAACTGTGTCATTGACATATTTAGCATGACAGACTATTTTAGTTGTAGTGAAACCAGAAGTGAAGTAGAATCAATTAATTTATCACCAGTTCATTAGATGTATGCCATATACTCTGCATCAAACCCAAAAATTTACTGTGCCAAAACTGAGAACAGACATGCTGAAACTGTCGGTCCGATCAGTCATGACCGAGAAAATTTGTAAAAAATTGGACCGGTAAAAAATTGGATTTGGTTGGTCCAAAGGACCGACAAGAATTTTAAGAGCCGCAATTTTGAATTTACTGTCATCATTCGACATACTTCACTAATAAAATTATATAAAACCCAAAGCGTTTTTCCCTTCCATTTCAAACCTATCACATTCACAAACAAAGTAAGCTCCCCTAATCTGTCTCAAACGAATAGGGTTATTTTCAGTCCGACAAAAATCCATTCGGTCCAACAAATTTTTCATTACTGCGGGTCCAAATGTCCGGCCATTCTGAAAAGTTTTCAGCATATCTGCGAGAACTAACAGATCAGCCAAAACATTCATACCTTGGGCACTGACTACTTATAAATACTGACTTAACTTTTAGTGTGTTTTTGAAGTTAAAATTAACCTTAATGTATTTTTAAATATCCTCATACTAGTACCAGATGTTTTGGGTAATCTTAACACTTTTGATTTAATTTCATTAATCTTATTCTCATTTATTGAATTTTACTTTTTATATTTTACTTATATATCGTACAATCCAACTATTTTAGTTGCAAATAAATATTACTATTATTATCATTATTATTATTGTTATTATTATTAACATGAATTATCATATTGCATTTTTCAGTCTGTAGCCTCTCAGCAGAAGGAAGAAGAGGAACTCTTAGGTGACGTTCCTGAGGAATTCCAAGATGCCATCATGGGGACAGTAATGAAGGATCCTGTCATTCTTCCATCTGGACAAGTTGTAGACAGAAGCACAATTGCCAGACATTTACTCAGGTAAAGGGTAACTGAGAGAGATGAAACTTTATTTTGTAATCACAACTCTTTTATCTTCCATTGATTGTATTTTAACTTTGATCAGGTGACAGTTTCAATTTTGTGTGATATACATATTAATTTGTGTAAAATAAAGTTCATATATTTGTCTTAATATCATTAATTTAATGACAGTGACTTTTCTAGAATTTTCAATCAAAATTAACTTTTAAGAATTTTGAATTATTTCCAGTGACCAGACAGACCCATTTAACAGGAGTCCTCTGACAATGGAGATGTTGAAACCTCATGATGAACTGAGAGAAAAAATCAAATTATGGATTCAGGACAACAAAAAATAAATCTGGCAAGACATTTAAAACAATTTTGAAATTTCCCATTTATGTGGTATCGATTCTCCAAGAGACAGTTTACAGTTCCACATAAGGATAGGCCATTTAACTCTTATTGTTGATTTCCATTGCTACTCTTTAAAGATACACTACTCAGAAAATTGGAAAACAAATAATGCTAGGGGCAATTAACTTCACAAGTATGTTGCTAAAGAGAAATAAGTTTGTTACTGGTATTGTTACATGAAATGTGTACACAGGCTATGTAATTTTTAAAAAGAATGCTTTTTTAGTGCACTTGCTGTAGATGTGTACTACTGTTGTGATAAAAGGACCATTCACAATGAATTTTGTCCACCTTTCTAATGCGCACCAACTCCACAGAAACTCTCGCTGAATGTAATCAGATTAACACGCCTTCTCTTTCTGGTGATTATAAGGGTATATAGGAAACAAGAGGAGGTGTGTTATTCTTTTACATTCAGCAAGAGTCCTCTTGGAGTTTGTGTGCATTAGACAAAATTCATTGTGCACTGCCCCAAAGATATATTTTACAGGAATGTTAAGGCTGTATACACAACACTTAAGTGTAAAAATAAAGTATAAAGATACAAATATCAAATTGATCTTCGACTTTTAATAATATTTAATTTTATTTGAACCACTCTTATTATGAAAAAACATTCGGCTTTTTAATTGCTTTATTTTACAAATAACAACAATCTATTAACTGCCACATGATGCAGGTTCATTTTTTTTCAACACCCAATACTTAATTCATATCCTGGAGTAAAGTTTTAAGTAAAGGTGCCCTGCAAATATTACCCCCCTCCCACATGGTCTACTTGGTACTTGCTATCTAAGCATGACTTTGAAAAAAATTTTTTTGGAAAAAATTTAAAATTACAAGAAATTTTTTTAATAATTATAATTTCTGTACTGACAGTTTAAAACGTTTGCAGCATAGTGTGTTTATATTCTGTCAAATATAAAAAACACAGAAAGAACTTTTGAAATATTTCATTTTTAGTCAATCGTAGTATCTTAATTTTCACTTTTTCCTAATAAAAATGTTCTGCTAGTTTTCACTGTACGCTACTTCCGCATTATCGTCGTTCCACTTGAAGGAAACACTCTTTCGTAAGGGGAGACCCGAATTAGCGACTGAACAGAAACGTGTGTGTGTTCCAGTGACAAAATGTATCTTTAAAGAGAAACCTGAATATAAGCAGTATGGGTCCTGTTAAAAAACGAAAACGTGGTCCCAAAAATCGAGAGACAAAAGTGCATCTAATATTTGACGAAAAAGCCCGAAAGTAAGTTCAAACTGAATTTTAATTTAAAGAAACTTCCAAATACGGTAGTTACTCGCTACAGCTGTACACGATTGGTTGCCACCCTGACTGGTTGGCGAATCTAAAGGGAAGCACGCAAAACGATTTGAAAATACCACACTTGTATATCGTAGTGTACCATAATTCTAAATTTCGATCGAGCCCTGATAGATCTACAACAAACATGGCCATGTTTTCAAGACCTCAGTGCAGATATTTATAATTTACCCATCTCCGATTTTGGTATTACAAAATAAGTTAATGCGCAGGTAAGGCCTCATTATACCCTGTGTTGGAAACTCTCGAGGCTATTAATATTCAAACTTTTTTGATAACGCTTCAGTATTTTTATTAAACGCTTTGCTCCACTTCTGCCATTTGTTAGTGACACCACATATAGAGCCTCAAGTTTCCACTCCCCCTGTTGAGAAAATAGCATGTACATTTTCATGATTGAAAGAGACTGTACATGAGGTTTGGGGATGAGGAATGGCATTAAGGTGCATTTATGAGATCATCAACAGTTACAGGTATCTAGTTTTCAATGACCAACACCCCACTGGTATAAAATTCAGGAATACAAAAAATGCTTAAAATTAGTCTTTCTTCTGATTGCAAACTGTTTAAGGTGAGTAAACAATTGTATGCTTTCCTTGCATTTTTAGTTTGGGGAAGTTGCACATTTTGGACAGTGGATAATTTAAATACTTACAAACAAGTTAATGTACCTTTCCACCTTAGCTCAGGGAATCTTACAATATGTCTGACCATCTTGTTCCACTTTTCATAATCTGCAGAGAGTACCTAACTGGGTTTAGGAAGAGAAAAAATGAACGCAGACAAAAGGCAAAGGAGAAAATGGAAAGGCATTTGAAAGAAGAGAAAAGGAGAATTAAACAAGAGGTAAGGAAAGTTTAGTCAATAAGTGGTGTTCGTAATAGGACACAATAAGTATTTGTTTGTATTCTGATTACCTGCATTTATCCTTGAAATTGTTGAGTGTCACAGGCTATTATGTTGGGTTCAAAAATTTTTTCTCAAAAGCTGTGTATACTAGTATTTATATCCACTTTTTATCACTTTTAAAACCAAAGAGGTGAAACTATCCATTCATCTGTTTACATTCCAGGCGAGAGATTTCAGGAAAGCTCATGTGCAGAACTTTACGCCAGTTCCTGAGGTTGATCATCTTGTGGAGCAGAAGACATACAACCTTCCACAACATACTGTGATAGTCACAGAGATAGATAACTCTGAGATTATGAACAACAGGGGCTTCCTTGGAGTAAATAGGGTATGTTGCAATATTCTTTTATATCTTTCTGTTATGTTCCATGCAGGTATAATAATTTTTTTAAAATATGAGAAATGTCTTCAGTGAAAATGCTTTATGAGGATAGCATTGAAATAATATTGTGTATTTCAGGATGAATCTGATGCTGAAGTCAACACTGACAATAAAGAAACCGTTCACGGAAAGGGTAAAGTAAAAGCCAGGTGAGGTTTGTAACGTATTCACAATCAAAGGAGCATTAGAGCAGAAAGTGTATTACAACAAGTTCAACCACTGATAAATCAAGTTTCTAAATTGAAAGCACTTTTTTAGTTAGCTTTGAATTGTTCTATGTATTCCATGCTTCCTCAGTTACCAAAAATGTGATTTTTTTTTTTAGCAGGAGGTAGTAATTTCATTTATTATATGCCACATGGTAATGATCAATACATCAAAAAAGAAAGAAAAGAAAAACAAATAAAACAGAAAAACAAAAGTTGACAATGGACCTGTACACTGCTCTTTTCACTATAAGTTCAGGTAACTTCTGGAATACTGCCCCCGTGTTATGGGTTAAAACTTTGTTGCAGCATGGTGTTTTATTGCTTTCCAGATTGAAGATTACAAAACATGGTAAAATGCAGTTGAAGAAAGCTGGAAAACCAAAGCATAAAAATATGACCCATCTACAAGATAAACATAAACTCAAAAAAGAAAGGGACAAGAGGAGAAAGGCTGAAAAGATTATAAGAGGAAAACATCAAAGGAAACGCACAAATCCAGGATGAAAATACATTATTCTTTGTATATTGTCTTCACCAGAGGTAAATGAATTCCTTCTTAGTTCATATAAAATGAGATGCTAGTTTAATATCAGACAGAGATGTTATTAATGATATGGATGGCTGTTTCAATGTGATAACATCTGTAGGTATATAAGCATACTGCATCATGCAGCCTAATTACCACTGCAAGAAAAATGAAGGAAGAGCACCACCACAGGAATCAGTTTTCCAAAATGATAGAAACTTTTACTGTCCATGAAAGTGTCCTCTGTGTGTTAATTTGACACTTTATAGCATAACATTGGCAACAGTATTGTGAATGTTGAAGGAGAATGGACAGTTCCCAAAAAATGTTGAAATAAGCAAAAAGAATTTTACAGAAAAAATAAGCTCAAAATGTCAGTCTCCCCAGCATGGAATTAAAATAAATCGTAATGCTTTTTGTGTGTTTGAAAACTTCAGAAACAAAGTTTTTCCATTGATTCTCATGAAAGCCTTCAAATTGAACTTTTTAGTCCCAAGTTGTGCATGAAACCCCATATCATGTTATCTGCAATCTCTATAGTTTAATGTGACATTTGGGGTTCTTAATTGAATTCATTAGTCTGAAAGCATATCAGCTGTTTGTTTTTTAGTTAACATGCTAAAAAATATGAGTGTCTGATTGATAGAATAAAATGCAGTAGATATTAGGATATTTTGCTTTTGGCATTCGTGAATTATCCCATCTTCAGGTCAATAAATCGCCAAGATGACCTCACCCAGTCATTAGTTGTATGTTGTTACATGATCATGAGTTTGACACTCACTGATTGGTTGAGGGCAAGGTTAATATCAGACTATACTGACCTACCAACTGCTATATCGGGAATCGGGAGGTACTATATCATTTCTTCCCAATGTGTATATAAATCAGTTTGGGACAGTCAGCTCATCACACTTTTGAATATTTCAAAACTTAATGTAAGTATCTCTCTTACACGCTTTTACTTATTAAAAAATAAATAAATAAAATAACCCTTACCACTCAGTATTGATGAACAATCTAAGAATTAGATAGGTTGAGATTTGTTGAAACATTTCCAGTATGAGTCTGTCTTGTAGTCCGTAATATAAAAATTCTTGTTCTATTTTTAAATGTCTCAAAAGATATATGTACATACCTCTCTTTAACTGTATAGCTTGAGAATTAATAAAGTATTGATTTTAAAGCCCCATAAAAACTTTTGAGGCATGTCAAACTAATTTTATAAGGCAGAGCGTATGGGACTGTTTCAGTTCGTGTTTACACATTGTTTGTTTAGCTCCCTCGTGTCATATGCTGTAGAAGAGCACTTGACTTTCCAATTCTATCTTCCGGGACCCATTTGCATAACAGACTGATGAAATGGACAGATTTGCAAATGTTTATGAACCCAAGGTACTGAAACTGGTCGACTAGTTTCATATTTTCATTCTCATGTGTGATATTGCACTGTGGTGGGTCTGTTGCTTTGTGTTTTAATGCTTGCAATGTATCGTTTTCAAAATTCATGATCATGTAACAAAACAGTAATAGACTTTGTTTCTGTCACCTCTTGACTATATTTATCTCGAAGTTGGGATAATTTGTCAATAATCCCAGCTCTGGGTGGAATGCAGCCCAGAGGTGACCTCACCCGCAGGTGACCATACTAAGTTGTAGGCCCAGTCTAAAAAATAACAAAATCAATGTTAGTTCCATAGTTTTTTTTAATAATCTTATTATAAAGTAGACTCTATAAGCTTGTCTTATTGAAAATAATACACTAATGATGTAATGAAATCTTTAGGCTGAAAGCTTGCTAGTACAGCATTATAGCTCCTCCATTGAATTCATGATTTGTATAAAAGGCAAGTATAGATGACTATTGCCAAGCCTACTAACAATGTTTATCTGGTTTAAAAAAATAATAAGAAAGCAGTGTTTAACTGGTATTCAGCAAACAGACGTGACAAATTTAAGCTACCTTGGTACATAAACAAATACATGCAGCATTTTACTGAATGCATCTCTCCAACACCAAATGAAAAATAGCAGTCAAGCAGCTTTCTTATGTATTAAATGACTGCTATAATATAGCATACATCAGGCACTTGTCATCCTATTTATATCAGTAAAACGCAGCAGTGCACAGGTTTGGTTGGTCAGAGCAAGCATGCAAAAGGAGTGTAGTGAAAAACCTCTCTCTCTCTCGCTCTCTCTCTATATACATGTATACATTGGGAGCACTTGAGAGCATAACCAAAATAATTCAATGCCCAGCAATGTAATCATTTAGCTTAATTGCACTCCAATACAGGTCAAAATAAATCTGTTAATTATTATGATTTGTGGAAAGAAAAATTATATTTAAGAGCATCAAAAGCACTATCTACAAAAAAGTGAAAACATATATCCCAGAGATGAACACATGCCTGAACTGAGACTATCATTGACAGTTCTGATATTTAAACTGTGTAAATCAAATAAAGCAGGGTACCTCCCCAATGCACAGGTCTGTCCATGTTAACAATAACAAAAGTTGACATCTAGATATTCTCTTCCTGTGTCCCTCTTTGGAGCCAATGGACTCCATGGCATTGCACCATCTTTCATTTAGTGTTACAATATAATACTTGCAACTTTTATCTTAGTAGCTGCAACAAAAATAGTGCAATATCTTTTTCTAAGAGCAGTAGTGATTTTTTCTTAAAGGAGAAAAAAGCTACTAAAGGCTATTCAATATATGAATATTGTAATATAACAGTAAGTTACTGCAGATCAACATTATAAGACTGCAAATTTGTGTACAGAGCAATAAAGATATTCTCTTTGCATACAGAGCAAAACTTTACCAAAATATAATGCCTGCAAAATAGATATTTTTATGTGAAAGCAAATCACAACAGCTATTTACACTCTTTCAATCTACCAAAAGGCAATATGTTGATCCTCGATTTTTTTTTCTTAATGTGAAAAACATTCCTGTATGTTAAAATTTTTTCTCTTGTCTCAGGTTTATTGGGAGGAAAAAAAGGACAAGCAAACTATAGGTATGTTGTTAGTTCTGTATCCCCAAACCAACTGAATTATTTAGAAATAATGCCTAAAAGATTTTTGATCTTAAACCTTGTATAAATAATGTCAACAACTGACAGAAGTCCCAAACAGGAATCGTTCCATTCTTAATTTCTCACAACAAAATTCTGACTCTCTGTTATTGTTTGACATGATATAATTATAAAACCTTTGAGCTCCCCTTCCCTTTCTAGGACAAAGGGGTGAATTCTGCATGAGGAAAAAAGACGCCCAAAGGCCAAAACAAGCATGTATTTGTTTCGTTTTATTAAAAAAAGTTTGGGCTGTTGTTGACATACAGAAAAAATACAATAAATAAATAAAAAGAGTGAGGGAAGGGAGGACTTATCAGCATTCTCCCCTGATTCACTGAGAAACCAACATAAATATCATGAAAATGACTTCATGTCCTACTGATTATCATTACAAAAACCATGGGACTGTCTTAAGTATTTGATAATACAAAAGCATACCCAAATATACAAATATTGAAAAATGCACAAAATACTGCATTTTTTCAAGGTTTTTTTTATTTGTTTGAGGCACAGGCAACACAAGCAGGTCCTTATCTTGTCCACTTCCAACACTTACAGCATGTTCATTTGTTATGATTATTTCTTTGGAGCAGCTACATAAGTTGCAGGAAATAGTCCAAATTTTCCATTACATTCCCCTTTCCACCAGTTCTCATCCTCTTTAGAAAGTACTTTGATGATGTCCCCTTTAGAAAATTTTAACTCCTCTGGCTCCTCAGGAGTAAAGTCATACAGGGCTTCAACTACTGTATCCTTTGCAAGAAAAAAAAAGAGAAAAAGTGAATAAGATTAAAAAATAAACAAGTGGTGTTAATAGTGTCCAACCGAATGGACAGTGGGTCTCTACCAATAAGTATTAATTTTCACAAATGTGGAAAAATTAAATACTAGACCCAAAAGTAAAAATGCAATGTTGCACAATTTCCAAGTGAAATGAGTGTCAGTCACTCATGAGACAGGCCTGGATGCTTGGTATCTGCACTGTCCCAACTGGGGAAAAGATTAAGAGTGCATTCCCATGGATTTAGATCAATCCATCTAAAACGACCTAACTCGCTGGGGGTTAATTGATGTCAGCTGAGCACGCACGGTAGTTAATTACCCCCTTACAGCTTTGATTAGACAGGACAGACGCTTAAGCTGGCTAAGCTGACAGTAATCTAGTGAGACTCCCCACATGGATAGATTGATCTAATATCTGTGGGAATGAGGTCTAAATCTCATTCCTCCTCTACTGTTCATTGGCAGCTTCTCTTCTTGTTTGACCTATCATGTGACCTGTCCATCCAGGTCACCGACACTCATTTCCCTGTTGTAGACCAGTACACTGGATTGTTGGGTTACCACTGCTCATGTCTACTGGATGATTCAGCGTGTTTACTGTCTCAAATATTAATTTTGTTTCATACATTTCTGACAATGAAGAACAAATCTACAGTATAATCTTCAGCTTTCCACAAGCACATATTTCAAGGTCCTCAACACATTTTCATTAATAATAACCTTCTACTAAGTTTCTAATATAGTGACACAGTCACTTAAAAATGGTCCCCACATCCACAGCAAGGTGAAAATGACCCCAAAGTTTAAACATAAGAGAATTATTGCAATCTGATTTAATAAATAAATAAATAGAAAAAAAAAGAAAAAACATGGTACTTACTGTGGACAGCATGTCTTTGAGCTGAATTTTTTCTGTTCTACTGACTGAATTATTCCTGTGGTAATTCACAAGCTGATTCAAGGAATCAAATTTTACAACCCATAGAAAATATTTGCCACTGCCATCTCGTAATACTTTGAAATGCTGTACAGCATCACCCCATCTGAAAAAACCAGAGGAAGAGAATGATCAGTCAAATACGGTAACACTTCATTTAAAGAGATATATTTCAAAACACTATCTAAACCCTGTTTTGGATAAAATAATAATAATAATGGTGCAATACATGTAAATGCCCAAGGCTGATGGCTCAAATTCTCAAAATCTGCACAACTTTTAAAATGATAATAAGAATAATTATACAGAAAGACCTGGATTTTAATCCAATGGGCGTCTACATTTCTGGAAATCAGTATGTACATTTTCTAGATACATATCAAATTCAAAATCACATTTAGATTTGACAATATTTCCAATTCAAGTTCAACTTAAGTATTGTTGGCCGTAGGTCACCTTTAGTCTTACAGATGCATAACCTGAGAAGTAGAAAGTTGAAAAAGTTTTTTTTTTTTTTTTTGGTGAAAACTGGGTCAAAGAAGAAATTCAAGGTTACATTTGGATTACCCGTACATCTCTCCCATGTTTAATGATTCATGGCCAAAAAAATAGAGGAGTACAAGTGAGATTTTCAATAAGAGAGTTGTGGTGAATACATTGGTTGACGAAGCTAAGCTTTTAAACAATAGGTTTTCTGTTTTTGTACTTAATTTAAATATTTTCTGCCATACATACATAATCAAGCATAGAAGCATGCTATATGGACATAAAATGGCTTAAGTTCCATTTTCAAAATTTACACTGGGTAGGATTACAAGTCTATAGTAAAAGAAGTAATGTGTGCATCTTTTTGCAACACTGACAGAGGCAGGTCTTCACTAGAACTGGTACGTTAAAAGATCTAATACTTCATATTCTCTTGCAACAGTGTCAGATACTGTAAGCCCCCCAAAATAATACTAATAATAACTTTGAGCAAATGGCAAATTTTTACATGAGTCCACTTACTTGACTGATAATGAAAAATCTCCTGGTGTGCTTTCACTGTCTCTTACCAGAAAAGCACCATCTGGTTGTTTAAATCCTTGTTCTTTTTTGAGTAAAAATTTTTCAGCCCCACTGCGTGTCATTTTTCCAACATACCAACTGTAAAAGAAAAAGATAAAAGTCTTTGCAATGATACTGAAGAGAATAATTATGCTTCCTTCATGATATACACGCTGATACACAAAAATATATGAGGTCTGACTGAAAAGAAATGGAATTGGTGTCACAAACAATTCATCTACATTCCAAGCAACACACAACATGGTTCTCCTTCAAAGTCATCAAGTCAAGTGCACTTTTTTGTACACTGTCATGCTCTTATGAACTGCTTAGTGGATTCTTCTGGGATGCTCTTTATCTCTTGATGTCCTGAAGGCTTATAATATAGGTCCTATCTTTGGCCCCCAGGTGTAAAGTAAAAAGTCACATAAACCAAGATCAGGTAAAAAAAGAAAATGTTTAAGTGCAGCAGTCTTCATCTCAAACATTGTGAGCTGATGCACTGCCATATATGAAGCAGCCACAACTTGTCCTCCCATAAACTGACGAATTCTCAATTTTTCTGGAGCACTGAGCCAAACAAACATGGCAGAAGCCCTTTGTAAACTTTCTTTTTCATGACCAGCTTACTAGCAATCATTTGACCCGTCAACCAACAGCAACAAGACAACTGCCTTTTCCTGCTTAACAATGAACTCACTTCTGATTGCCTGGTCTCTATGAACATCTAGCATCATTTTTGTGCGAGACATGTGCATGACCGATTTGTAAAAAACAAAAATCCTGAAAACGTTGCTTGCAATTTCTCATTGCATTTTGACCTTATGAAAAATGATCGAATTGAAAAATGAAAATCCTTAACTGGAGCATAATCCTGAAAACTTTCGCCCATGTATGTGTATGTGACATGGTTGTTATTTCCATACACGCATGAAGGCATTTGTGTTTGTGGCAATTTTCCCTGACCGAATTAAAAAATTCAGAACAATTTATGGTTTGTTGTATATCATTTGTTCCTCAGTGCTCATACCTGAAGGAACTGAAAATAAGGCATAGACGAAGAATTTGAAAAATAGTGGCTACAGAATACAAAGATTACAGTTATATCCTCCTATGAAAGCTTGTTAGTTTATCACATTATCAGCAAATCCACTTTTTTTTTTTTTTTTTTTTTTTTTTTGACAATTTTTAACACAGAACACAAAGTTTAGTTTCTTTTAAGACAAGTTTTCTAAGTAAATGCTTGGATTATACGGTACAAGTCTTGATATATGTTTACCTCTCACTGTCACAATTTTTTTCCTACCAGGGAGGGGAAGTAATTAAAGTTATTTTAATATTACCACTTACACAAGTGATAACCTTTTTGGCCAGTTGATCCTCTGCATAAAAGATAGACTCATGCTAACATAACAATTTTTTCACCTTGTGCTAAGCCTCCAAACCGATTTGAAATTAAAAGATTAACATTCACCCACAATATTTTGAGATATCAACAAAATACCAAGTAATGTTCAGTTTGTATGTTTAATACTTTTATTATAATAAGAGAGACTCAACAAGCTATTTTTTTCTGAAAATAATATATACAAATGTGTTGTAGTTGAAATCTGCAGGCTGAAAGGCAAGCAGTACAGCATTGCAGCTCTTTCATTAAATTCTTAATTTCACACTTCATATAAAAGCAATAATAGAAAAATTTTGCCAAGCCTGCTTACTATATGCATGATCTCTTAAAGTAATGTTCAACTAGTATTTAATCATGATATTAACTTGGACACACAAACAAATCTACACACTGTATTAT